ACAATACGTATTTACCACGTAAATCATGACATTGCAACGATGCTCGTATTACCGTCATTTTGACAGTCACAGCGTTCGAGAACAATTTTAACAAACAAGTTTACGTACATTTACGCTGTCGTTCATTAAACGTGACCGTTAATGAGAAACAGTGTATTTCGTCGTTGAAAGAATTAAAATATCAGTTAACTAAATTATTTATTGAAAAATTTCATTCTTTTCATAGAGGTTTTATCGAGTTCCTGATAACGAGCATTATTTTGACTTTCGCCTTCATACGACATGTATTCATGTTTGACAGTTTTTGAGACTTGACGTCGGGGTTTAGGTTTTGGTTTGCTAAGCATCTGATTCTTTCTATTGCTACTGTCCTTCTTTAACATACCATCCTTTTCACCTCTGACCTCTTCGTAATGCTTATTTGAATCTTCCTGACCCGGATGTATGTCCACGTTATTACCACAAGTCTCATATTCGTTAGCTGCCTTTGGAATGTCGTAATGCTCATTTGAGCTCACATGACAACTCGATTCTCCCTTTTGCTCCAGATATTTAGTAATACTATCGCCGCAGTCCTCATATTCGTTGGCAATCCTTGGAACGTCATAATGATCATTTGGTATGTTTTGCACATGGTTAGTACTTACTTGATTGTTGTTAGTTTTATTACTTCCTTTCTGCTCATCCATAAAACTATCGCAGTTTTCATATTCGTTAATGCCCTTCGGAATGTCATAATGTTCAATTGATACTTGGTGGCTTAACACTTCTTCTTTATCTTTACGACTTTTTTCATAATTCACTGGAATTTCACAAGTATTCATTGGCGGAGAATCGTCTTTGCGCTGGTTGACTTGACAATGTTTTGAACTTTTATTTTTGCTGATCGTACATTTTTTGGCAATTTCTTTAGTTCCTCCATTTTCGATGGGCTTTTCACCTTGTTTGTATTTGCTGAACTTTTTGTGCCTTGAAACGTCACATTGATCATTTGAGCTCTGGGCACCGTTCCCTAGTGGACTGGGCTCTTGATATATATTTCCATTCTCACCTTCTTTGTTGACACCCAGCTTCGGTGTGTCATACTGAAAACTTGAGGTATCCCCTACAAAACACGGTTCCTGATATATGTTGTCATTTCCATTGCCCTTGTATTTATCCGGACTCAGCTTTGGCGTGACATACTGAATGTTTTTTGTATCCTGGTGCATTGGCGTGTCATATTGTCCACTGCCAGTCAAAGTACTGCTACCTAGCGGACTGGGTTCTTGGTATATTGCATTAACATATTCACCAGCATGAAGTCGTGGTACGTTATAATGTGCACTGGGGGTTGAGGCACCATCCCCGTGTTTACTAAGCTTAGCAGCATCGCTTTTATTTGACATGCATACATAAGCATCCTTTTTTGGAACTGTATAATGACCCTCTGCTTTAAGATCATTATCTGTCTCTCGATTGTCTACTTGATGCGTAGCATTAATTATATAACCGTCTGTGTTAGTTTCAACAGTGTTACTGGCCACATCGATAGAAGCAGAGACATGGCCTTCTAACTTCACTTCATCTGGGAACATATATATATTAGACTCTCTTTCTCCAACTCCGAGGTCGTCTATTGATGGAGGACGCATTACAATAGCAACAGAATCAAATCTGAAAAAAAAATTATTACAACATAATAAATAGTAATAATTGTAATAGACCACAGATATAATATTAGTGATTTATGTTTTTATCTGTTAAAAAATAACAAATGTATTTGTACTTTATGACAACGATTTGTTATGTGACAACTGCTTTCCTTGGCTCACTCGTTACTTTCTTGATGTTTTATTTACTTTTTTTCTTATAAAATGCAGTGTCCTGTTTATTTTTCTGTAGTGTTCCCTTTTTATTTTCTCTACCCCTATATTTTGTGTAATCCCATTCTTTGCTTTGTTAACATTTGTGCAATTTTATTTTATTTTTTTTTCAGAATGTCAATATTTCTTATTTTTGTCTCTTTTATTTTGATATAATCATTTTAGATCTGTGCAATGTAATTACAGGTATTGTAATTTATTATTCCGAATTTCAATGTTTTAAAATACTGTTCTTAAATATCTTGATATAATCACTTTTTAATGTATGTGCAACTCGTAATATTTACCATTTTATATTATCCATATGATGTATTTTCATTTGTAATTAAATTGAATTAAATTGTTAAAAGAGCATCCGCAATTTCTCACAGCAGACAAGGTTCAACATCTCGATTGGGCTGTATCATTTATCGCCTTTCTCCCTGACATATAGTAGGGTCAAAAGAGGGAGATTTTATTGGTCAGTATGGTTCTTCTTAAACCACTGGAACCGAAAATGGCTTCGAACGTAGGGGTAGGAGAATCCAATTGTCTGACATGGGATAAGTATCTCCATGACGCCACCAATGTGCAGGGTTAGAAGAGGCTTCACGTTCGTCTATCAATCCAGTAACATACTGAATGTAGTAATAAATGAATGATACAAAATGAGATAAATTAAGAAGAGATGCTAAATAAACCAGCATCTCAATAAATTACCTTCTCCCTCGCTGTTTATTCCTTCGACGGACGACGACAAAACAGGTCAATCCAGTAACGATGCAAAATACGACGAGCGATACTGGCAATAGGGTGTACATCATCGTGTTACTAAATTCTGCTTGAAGTGGTTGAACGAAAGACTCTTGCTCTGTCTGTTCTGTCTGCCTTGTATGCTCTTCTTCATAAGTGGTGAAATTTTGGACAGTGTTTGCCACAGTGGAGATTACTGTAATTATTGGTGATGTTTGTGTGATTGTGGTTACACTAGCTCTAGATGAAGTTGTTGTTGTCTTTTCAGTCGGTTTTACAGTAGTAGATGCAGGGCATTTGAGATCATCTAAATAATAATAATAATAATAATAATAATAATAATAATAATAATAATAATAATAATAATATTAATAATAATAATAATAATAATGACAATGATAATAATATGATAATGATAATAAAAATAATTAATAATAATTCTAACAATAATAATAATAACAATCACAATCACGATAACAATAACAATAACAACAACAGTCACAAACATAAGCATAGTCAATAGTCATAATCATAATAATAAGCAAATAAGCATATTGATAATAATTATCATCATCAGAATTTGATGAGATAGATATTAAAATAAAAACCAAGAAAAATGGACAGGTACATGTTAAAATTGACTAGCCTATACTTACCCGTGGACTCACAAATTATGGAGTTGACTCTATTCTGTTTTGAACACCGACTTGCAACGATCCTTACATCGTTACCGAAAAACCCATCGTCTACTGTGATTTCACCACACGTGTCATATATATATTTTTGGGGTAAGCTATTTACTTTCACATTGAAGATGCTGTCCTCGTTGAATTTTAATATATGCAACAGATTTTCCGTCAGCTGCTCGTACTCTAGGTTGTCATTTATGATGACGATGTTCGCACCGGCCTGTAGGCATTCTCCTTCAACATCCGGCAAAGATCGCAATTTTTCGGCTACAGGGATGTAAATGTATTTACTAGCTGAAGCTGGTGGATTTCCTCCTGGCAAAATTAAATTAAACAATAACTTTTCAAACTCTGGAATTTTATTTTACAAAAAAGAAACTTTATACAGTGAACCTCTACTAAGGGGACAACGTCGGGACCAAAAACAGCTTCCTGTAAATAGTCATGTACACAATTACGGGTAACCCTATTCAACAGAGAAACTAGCTAAAAATGTGTATTTGTCTACATACTACTGGTTTTGGCACGTAATCATACTACAATGACGTACAGTAGATTACTTATAATTATTTGACATGAAGACGTACAATAGAAATAAACTAATTTGTATCAATAATTTGCAATGGAGATAATAAAAGTTATGATATGAAAATAATAATTGATAATGAAAATAATAATTATGATTGATAATGATAATAGTAATAATACGGTATTGTATTTCGTCAAATAATAATAATAATAGGCCTAATAATAATAATTGTAATAATGACGTTGATAATTATGATAATAATGATAATAAGAACAATAATAGTAATAATAAAAATAACAATGCTATTGATATGGTATAAAATGATATCATCGATTGTTAATGCCTATTTAATTAACAAGTGTATTAATTCCGTACCAATGTTTTTATTTTGTCCATCCGGATTCTTAAAATACCAATCATTGCTTGTGGAGAACAGCATGTAGCATTCATTGATACCAGCACACGAAATTTCGCTAAAGGACAAACATAAATTGTATTAAATGCATACGGTATACAATCAATCCATCAATCAATCAATCAATCAATCAGTGGTCAGTCAGTCAGTCAGTCAATCAATCAACCAGTCAATCAATCAATCAATCAATCAATCAATCAATGGTCAATGGTGGTTGTGCACTTATAGTCAATATAATCAATCAATCAATCAGTGGTCAGTCAGTCAGTCAATCAATCAACCAGTCAATCAATCAATCAATCAATCAATCAATCAATCAATGGTCAATGGTGGTTGTGCACTTATATAGCCCATAACGTTCGTCTCTATGCGCTTTCCAGGACAACAGAAAATGGCTGAAACGGGAAAAAATATTAGAAAAAGAAGCAAGACAAATAAAGGAAAGCAAAAAGAAAACCAAAACAGGAGAGTGGAGGAATATTAAAAATTGTTAAATAAGGATGATTTAAGACGGCGCTTAAAGAATCAATCAATCAGTCAATCAACAAACCGATCGATCAATCAATCAATCTATCAATCGATCACTCTTTTATTGCAATTTTGAATCCGTTCAGTTCAATCAAATCAATGAAACAAGCAATCAACCAACTAACAAACCGTTTAAGTTTAATTCCATATCAACAATATAAAGGTTTCAAAAGGTTTCAATAGATTGTTTACTTTCTCATTTTCAAGCAATTTCCTTCCAATCCTATGAGTTATAATCCTTGGATTTTGAAAAGATCCAGATTATAGGTCTATCTTCAGTTAGGCAATGAGTTCTTATTTCAATCTCTGTTATACATTAACTAATTGTGATGTACTTAACGTACAGATGCAAGAGGATGCGGACTCGATTGACATGACCTCTAGTGGTTAAGTTATTCATTTACCATGGTACTAAACCTCTGGTCTAATTCAAAACATTCTCACGATTGGTTCTTTATGTTTAGCTCACTGTTAAACATTTTTATTATACTTCCGCATTATATCGGAACACGATAGTTTATATAACTTTCTATACTCGCACTTCATTATTTATTGAAATAAATCAAAAGTGAGCAAAAATATGAATACCATTAAGATTAGATTTATTACAAAGTGTCTGTAAGCTTCTAAGTAATTATTAAGAATTTCAATATTCCTTTCGATTTCTTGAGTCAACGGTATGTTTTAGCATTATATCGCAACACGGTAGTTCAAGTAACTTCCTATACTCTCACTTCACTTTAATTGAAATAAAACAAAAGTGAGCAAAAATATGAATACCGTTAAAATTTTATTAAAGATTTATTACAAAGTGTCTGTAAGCTTCTAAGTAATTAATAAGAATTTCAATATTCTTTTCAATTTCTTGAGTCAATGGTATGTCGTTCGTTAAGTGCATTGATAGACCTAGGCCAAACAAAAACTAAAATTATATTGTCACAAGGAATGTGTCATGTACTCACGTGGGACACTGTGCTTCAATGTATACACAAACAAAAACTACAATTATATTGTCACAAGGAATGTGTCATGTACTCACGTGGGACACTGTGCTTCAATGTATACACAAATCCAAGTAAGGACCACGGAGCAGATGATCCGCTGTCGCATTGTGTTACAAGCAACAGTCACAACTTTCTCAAACTATTCGTTACGAACAATGAAACCAGTTATTCTGCTTATGCGACACTTTAATCAGAGTTGTTTATCTAGTTGTTCGCATGACGCATCCGTAATTTTGAGTATATTTTCCCTGTATAATCATCATTACCACTATGGATCATTTGTAACCGAAGCTAAGCCTTGTCCAGCAATCGATCACAGGATATCGGCATCAGCAGACTACCAAAACACAACTAAAGACTTCCTGTGACACAAGGCACGGAAGTGTGTCACGAAATCAAATACTGTGGAACAGCTTATGTGGCTAGGCTTAGGCCCTACCTGTGTATTTTCCCGGAAAGTAAAGCCATTGCAGACATTTAATGCTTTCCTGCCATTGTAATAAATTCAGAATATATATATATCCATACAATGAAGTAATAAAAAAGATGGAATAATTGAAACAAATAGATTGTATAAAAGGAGGCTACAATACGTTTTGCAAGAACAACTCACAGCGGTTTAAGACGTAGCCACCTTTTACTTTTAAAAAAAGTTGAAAAAATATTCCAATCAGGGTTTAAATATGGTTTTTTTTAAATAAATAAAATACATTACTAGACACATTATATTTGTTTACAAAGACAGAAATGAAAGGAACAACTATCTATTGCTTTTGAAAGTGAAATTATTTCATTTATGATCAAGAATAGGATATGATGTTTCTTTTACCATACCGGGGCTACGCCGCTTGACTTTCGTTTCACTCCAAAGAGGACAATTTTTCATTTTATGGATCTCCTATATCTTTAAACACCTGAATTTAGTGATGGCTTTTGATAAGTGGTACAGTAGATACGAATTTGAGTAGAGTGACTGCTTTATAAAAATATTTTTGTTAAAAACTATAAAACATTTGACTTTGATTATGTGTTACGATCTCGATGTATCATCATAACGCTTAAACTGTATTAAAAAGTGAAAAAAATAAGAAATGTAACTGTGACTGCTACGGCCCCACATGGAGCAGTCGCTATTCAGCACCACTTCTCAGGAGATGGTAAGTAGGCGAAGAGTGTAATCTACATGCTCATATCTGCTACGACGTTCTTAATAACGTGCATATGGGTCATGTGCGTATGACCAGAAAACGCCACTTGATGGAATAAAACAAGGAATAAGTACGTCTCCTCGCCACGAATCGCGTCTGATTGGAAAATTATTTGTTTCATGTTCCGTCTTATTCATTCTAAAGTAGTTTTTTTCTAAAAATGGCTAGAAATAGGTGTTCATTAGTTTTAATAATGATTGTCTGGTAATTTGATGCTCACTTTAGTGGTCATCTATTGTTAAATAAAATAAAATAAAATATCTTTATTTCCATACAATGAAGTAATAAAAAAGATGGAATAATTGAAACAAATAGATTGTATAAAAGGAGGCTACAATACGTTTTGCAAGAACAACTCACAGCGGTTTAAGACGTAGCCACCTTTTACTTTTAAAAAAAATTGAAAAAATATTCCAATTCGGGTTTAAATATGGTTTTTTTTAAATAAATAAAATGCATGACTAGACACATTATATTTGTTTACAAAGACAGAAATGAAAGGAACAACTATCTATTGCTTTTGAAAGTGAAATTATTTCATTTATGATCAAGAATAGTATATGATGTTTCTTTTACCATACCGGGGCTACGCCGTTTGACTTTCGTTTCACTCCAAAGAGGCCAATTTTTCATTTTATGGATCTCCTATATCTTTAAACACTTGAATTTAGTGATGGCTTTTGATAAGTGGTACAGTACTTTGATACGAATTTGAGGTGAGTGACTGTTTTATAGAATTTTATTTTGTTAAAGTCTATGAAACATTTGACTTTGATTATGTGCTACGATCTCGATGTATCATCATAACGCTTAAACTGTATTAAAAAGTAAAAAAAAAAATAAATAAATAAATTTTTTAAAAAAATTTAAAAAATGTAACTGTGACTGCTACGGGCCCACATGATGGAGCAGTCGCTATTCAGCACCACTTCACAGGAGATGGTAAGTACAGACGAAGAGTGTAATCTACATGCTCTTATCTGCTACGACGTTCTTAATAACGTGCATATGGGTCATGTGCGTATGACCAGAAAACGCCACTTGATGGAATAAAACAAGGAACAAGTACGTCTCCTCACCACAAGACTATTGGGTTGAATCGCGTCTGATTGGAAAATTATTTGTTTCATGTTCCGTCTTATTCATTCTAAAGTAGTTTTTTTTTCTAAAAATGGCTACAAAACGATTCACAACAGAATGTTGCGAATTTGTATAAAACTGAGGTTAAGAATGTAGCCTACTGAGAATTAGTTTTGTGACCCTGGCTGAATATATGTAATGTATGTGATTAGAACTGGACTATTATTGTACATGCCATTTAGAGACGGCATTCGTTTTAATTATTGTATCCTATTATTATAGAATTTATTGCAATGGAGTATAATACAGATTTCAGTTTAACAAAATCAGTGAGTAAACATATTGTTATAATTAATTGATGCAAAATGATACAGAACCCACACACCAAAAACAGCGTCTTAATAAACCTAATGGCAAAGGTAGTTTACAATTGCTGCTTCTGCGCTCTCGAAGAAACTACCAGGTCTTGTCAAAGAGGCTGATTCTCTGGACGTCCGTCTTAAATTGGTTGTCGGTTAACATCAAAACAACAGAAGGTATTTTACATGTTTTCAACTTAAGCTGTTTTGAGTCCACAACAATAAAGAATTAGAAATAAAATTCACACCTATAAATATTTGATGAAGATCTAATTCAGTGGCGGATACAGGAATTCGAAATATTACAGGGCGGGAGGTACTGTTAAAGGCGGGGGTCTAGACCATCTCAGCCCCACCGTATATAATTTTGGCAGCTCTAGATGGCCGGAAATGCCACTCTCAGACCTAAATTTAATTAAAATTTTTCTTATATCTCAATTTTTAAAAATAATTACTTTATAGTATTATCATATTAATCATTTTTTTTTCTTTTTCTCACTTCCACCAATTCATAATACATTATCACATGAATAAAAAAAAAGAAATGTTTCTGAAATATTTCAACTAGATTACAATTAAATTGAACATATTGAGGAAAATAAAAATCTGTTTTTTTTTTTTATGTTGGTAGCCCCAATTCATATAAATCACATTTATAAAAATTCAATTTTTGTTCTCATTTCTAATTACATTAATATCAATAATCAAAATAACATAACAACAACATTAACATTAGCATGGTTATGGCTAACACACTGATCAAACTACAAAAGTAAAGGAAAAACACTGTCTTACTGTTCAGAAAATTTAATGAAACTAAAATATGAAACAAAAAAGCAGTATGCCGTATTAGCCAGTGTATGTAAATACAAAAAATACATTGACTGGGGCGAAAGCTTGTGAAATAAAATTCATCATTAGTCAAAAAAGTGCTTCCTATTCATTTTTTTTATTTAAATATGAAAATAACAATTAACTACAAATCTATATGGGATTAGATTATTACAAGAATAACATAATATGCATAAGCCTGGATCAGAGATTAACTTTTATACAATTTAGTCTTAAAAGTGCTGTTGCCATTTCTTTTATATTGTTCTATAGCAGACTAACGCGGTTACACATTTTATTCATCATGTTTTTTATTGTAGAATTTTAAATTTAAATTTTAATAAATTATTTGACAGAAATTTTTCATTTTCTTAGAAATACGCCATCCAATTGAACTTCAGTTTGAACAGAAAAGAAAGATAAAATGGTTGTAAGGTAAAACCGAATGTAACCAACGTTTCGTGTAAATGTCTTTAAAAATTTCTGATAGTTGACAAGTTAAAGCTAACTCTACACAACGGGAAGCTATACGTAAGGAGAAATCATAAATTTCGGTGTTTTATTTTAGTTATAATTTTATTGACTGCATTTAAGGTGACTGTCAGTCAATGAAACGAAATCCGTTTTTAGTTTGGACACCTCAGTGACAATAAGGTTTGAAGCAACCCTTTGCTTTAACTGAATCGATTCATCACTATCCTTCTCCATACAGGCAAACTCCAATAGTTCCTGTTTTATCTCAGTTGGGGTACAGTCGCACTTCGGCACCGGAATCTTGGAGAAACAGGTAGATCCAATATTGTCGATTACGACGTCATCTATGACAATGGTTTTCATCTTCGGAAGACAGTTGGCTACTTCTAAAAAGGTTGGAAATATTGATATATTTAAAGGCATTAAATAAAAAAAAAAGGTAAACCTAAATCTAAAAAGTCAATATCAAATTTTTCAGCAACATTTTGTATTTATAAAACATTTATATTTTATATTTCAATGTGGATATTTGTAGTTGATCCTCATAAAAAAATAATCATGTTAATAGTGTTATTACAATTTGAGACGGGGGGGGGGGGAAATTCAAATTTTCCACACGAATTACACCGTTAATGTTCAAACGACGTAAATAGTTCCGAGGATAGTAGTATAAGGATTAGTACGCGCATTAGAAAATATTGCGTTCAATAAGCCTTCCTTTATTCTATTTTTTATATAAATATAATATTAATTTTATATTAATAAGCCAATTCGTAACTTGAAATGCGCATGTCTATATCAGGTCAATTGACACAAACAAGCATACATACAACATGGCTTATGTCGATTGAACCTGGATACGGGCATGCGCTGTTCAAACTATGAATTAGCTTATAAAAATGCTCATTACCGGGGTCGAGTGAACACAAATTAGCATCTCGGACACGGTAGCTTATTCCAAAGATTTGACTGTCACGGTAAGCTAACTGTTCTGGGCCTACAAGATCGTTGGTTTTCTCGCCATCATATTCACCACAGAGACCACATTGCAGCCCATGGTACCACGGAGAAACCTACAGAAAAAATCTTAAGTGTTTTAACAATTGCACAACTTGTAGATGTTCTTTAGGACCTAGCATTTTTTATAGTTACTTTTATATTCATATACTCAATTTCTACATAGAATTCAAGAGGTTGTAGGATCATGTCATTTTATTTCTAATAAAGAAGTTTGGAATAAGATGTGTTAATAATAGGTAGTTTACGCCGCATGACGTTAACCTTAACCTTAATGACGTCATAATTCATTTATCTTGCGTTACGTTAATTTCAGGATTTTACGCGTTACGGGTTTGCGCGTGCGTATTTACATTTTGTTTAGAAAAGGGGAGGAGCTATCGCGTTGCATATTTGGTACTAAGTTAAAGTTAAGGTTAACGTCGTGCGGCGAAACCTACCTAATGATTGTGGGTGATACGGTAAATATTGATGATGATGCTGATGATGAAGATGAAGCTAACTTCTGAACGTGACCATAATGATACTAAGATTCTGAGATGATGATGCTAATGCTAAGACAGTGACATTGATGAGAAAGATGTTTTGTGCTAACCTGTGTTTTGATGTATCTTTGGTTGTATTTCACTTTAAGTCCAACTGCAACGCACTCAACTTCAATTGTTTCATTCATTCTTCTGATGACATGAGTAACTCGACCACTTTTAGGTCTGTCTACTGCTGTCATGGTTTTCATTCGATGCCTAAAATCTTGCCAGTATTTCCGTTCTTCGATATCAATTTCACGTTCCTCGTGCTGTTCTCTGCTCATGCTCAATGAATCAACTTCCTTCGAATTTGATTCCTTCGACTTTGATTCCTTTGACTTTAATCCCTCTTCTGATGGCCTAGGTTTATCGGTCGATGGCTTGAGTCCCCCTAAAGTTAGACGCGGGCTGACTGTTACGTTGGGGAGCGTCAGAGAGACATTGATTTTGGCAAGTTCCTCGTCCATGATGTCAGCGATATGGCGCTCTTCGCTGCTCGCTGAAGCACTGAGGGACTCAGATGGATGTTTCGTCAAAGCATCTATCTTATCCATGTGAGGAAAGATTGCCTCTACCCGCTTGGAACCTTTGCTGAAAATAAGTATCTTCTGGTTATCTTTGATCTTGAGAGGAACTCCATCCAAACTGACGGTGATTTCAATATCACTAAGTGGTTTGAGCTCTATGGTCTTGCCTTCTGATATAATCTTAACTTCCTGTAAAATAAGGTTTAGGCTAGATATGGCATAATGATATAGGGGCCTACGTACTATGATAGACGATTTAATTTAATTTAATAATTTAGTTGTTTAAATCCAGTTTCCTTTATTTTTTTATCAGACAGAGGATTCCCACGCCAAGTATGCTGATAAATTAGAATCAAAATATATTCGCATTCAGGCGTGACGACATTCCTACCTGTTGAAGTTACGCAAATACAAAACAAAACAAAACAAAACAAAAACAAAAAACCAATACCATGACTGCTTATAATAAACTTACTTTCTTTTCTGGCTGGCCTGGGCTTTGACGAGCTGTGACGGTGTAGCGTTCAGATGAGGAGCAGTCCTTTGCAATGACGTGGGGACACGTGGTGATGTTGTATTTGTAAGAAAGGTCATCAAAAGTTTTGATTTGATCCTTCACGACTTTACAAGTAGCTAATCGTTGGGGAAAATCAATCTAATATTCATGACATTTGTTCAAGTTACCAATAGAATAGTTATAGAAATATTATTTCTCATGCTGTCCACTATTCTATATTATAGTAATGATGAATATATATATATATATATATATATATATATACATATATATGTATACGTATATATATACATATATACATATTATATATATATATCTATATATATATATATATATATATATATACGAAAGAAACATAATCTGTAGTTAAACTCTAGTCTGTATTTTTTTTAAATCATTATTATTATTAAGAATTGTCGATCAATAGTACAGTGCCTAGTAGCCGAAGAATCCACATTTGTTTCCATTATTCATTAACTTTTAAATAAGCCAGCCCGTAGTTAGATAACAGCACATGCTCGTTCATGGCCAATCGACATAAACACCATACATACAACATAGGTTATGTCAACATACTAGGTTCATGACATTGGATACGAGCATGCGCAGTTCCAACTACAAATTGGCTTATTTAGAAGAGATCAAAATAGGTTTCACGCCTTATCAAGGATGCCTTCAACAGAAAGCTCAATTAACTGCTACCTCGATTTTAACTGCACTGATATTAACCTACTCTATATCAATTACTACATTATATTATTGTCCTGTGTTCTTGGTTCGCATTAAATTTTATAGCTTTAAAAGCAGTATATATCACTATCAACTCCTGATCCTACTATTGTCAACGTCAAGTCAATGTCTGCCAAATGTCTTGAAAAAGATGGCTATTTGTACCAGTACCAGTACCATTATCAGAAGGAAGCTTAATGTAAGTTACTCACGTGGGAAATTGTTGTTGGTCAGCGTCTGTTTGTACTGACTGAAAAGAGGATAACGTGCTGAAAATGGTTCAATGTGAACAGGAAGTGGCACGTCATGCCATCTGAGTGTCTCGAATGGGTGCCTGATAGCCAAATCCATCTTGGTTTTTGTTTTGTCAAGAGCTCCAGAAATCAAAACCTTCAGAAATACAGATTACTTTTTAATATATTATATTAACAATTAAACAAACATTATTTGTACGTTAACGTAAGCTAAATTTAAAAAAATCCTTCTTTTATATCGGATTATAGCCTAAGAAGAGTTAACATCGAAATTCTGATTTTATTTACAATTATTTTTATTATTATTTATCATCAAAATCGACATCTGAATCTCCTCCGCCATCACCGTTCAATTATCATCATTATCGTTATCATTAATGATAATAATAATTATCATCATTATCGTTATCATTAATGCTATCGCCATAGTTTACGTAATTATTATTATTATTATTATTATTATTAGTATTATTATTATTATCATTATTATTATTACATTATTTTATACCTCTCCTCCTTTGTTTTTCTGCCCCACATTCTCGATCACTAACTTATCCATTGTTGCTTTTTCAAGAAGGAGTACAGATTTAGAATACAGCTTCTTCAGCCACAGCGGCAACTGGAAGAAACCGTTTAAAATCATAATTGTTTGAATGCCTGCATTAATTCTGTACATGCATTGTATTTAAAGTACAGAACAAGTCAGGTTACTACACCTGTTACTACAGACTTTTCGAGGTTAATATTATCTTAATGAAAGAAATGAACATATTTTTACGTTATCGTAAGTGATCATCACGTGCATTTCTCGGAGTTCATTTTCCTGTTGGATTATCTCTAAGCAGGCAGGACTGTAACGGAGACCACTCTCACGATCTTTGTTACACTGGATCAGTACTGGATTTTGTTTGTCCTTCAACTCTTCTAGTTGTTTCTTGCTTTGTTCAAAGCGGGCCTAAAATTTAAAAGATAATAATATCATAATGGTTTACTTTAGTGTCAAAGAACAGATATTAAGTATAATAAACAAAATGAAACTTATAATAATCAACATTTTCGTTTTTTGTGCAGTCGAATTCAAAGCATTAAACAAATAAATCTACTCGAATGGATTTTGTTTGAATATTTATACACCTTAATTATTTAATACTAATACTTTAATAGCTTTTGATTTTACAGGCAGTATATGCGCTCATGTGGTGGTGGGGGGGGGGGTGGAATGCCACTGCTAATTGTATTGTTTTCCATTATTTTCATTATTTCCCATAAGGCATATAAAGATCAATTCAAGTACGACTACTTTCATTAGGTAATGTATACCTCATTAAATAGAACATTTTAAATAACTAACGAAGCGCATTATATACCTTAATTTCGAGTTTCTTATCATTTTGACAGCTAACTCCCCACTGAAGGTTTAACTTGCTACGGATCTGTTTGGTCATAATTCGAACTTTATCCTCCAGGCTTAGGTGTTTCACTACCCGTTCCTCACTGGAATCTGAAACGCTCAGCTTGCCAGAAGCTCCAGACTCTGAGCTAGACCATGATTCACCGGACTTTAGGTTAGACACGGAGTCAGCTTGACCAGAATGGGATGTGGACGCATCGCTGCCTTCATCAGAAAAGGATTTTCCCTCTGTAAAATAGCGACTCGGTCTTCCGAAGCGATTAAACACACTGTCTTGGCGTTTTCGCAACTGATTTGGAAGAACAAAATCTGGAACTGGAAATAATATTTCACTCTGCATACACATCTGAAAAACACACAACAAAAAATAATTTTTAGAATTATGTTTATATATGATATAATATATATATTATATATACATACATGATGTAAATATATATGTAATATATATATATAAATATATATATATATATATATATTATATTCCATAATTATCTTTTAAATTTATCTACCTTTTAAACATTTGTATCAAGTGTATTTTAATTCTTGTTTTTTTTATTCTTGCCTTGTGTCTTTGTATTGCCAGAGAAAACAAATTTCCAGTTGTTTTATTGGACAACAAATGTTAAGTTACCTTATCTTATCTTACCTCATATGCAGGATATACAGGATAAAGTACTGCGTAACGGTAATACATAAAATCATTTCAAGCGTTGACAAAGACTACAGGAGTAGCCGAAATATTCGTTTCAATACATGTTTCTAAGGTCAAAATTTTAAGTATCTGAATTTGTATTACCGTTACGCAGTGCTTATTCTCTATGTTTCGAAACACACATAGAAAAGGGTGTGTGATAAAACACTTCGGAACGGTAAATAAGATACAGACTTTTTATTATTTAAAATCTGGGGTAGGGGAGGGGAAAGAAAAGAGGCGTAAAACAATATTTTAAACTTTTTAATTGTTGGAGTGCCAATATGCTAAATATTAAACCAGGGAGGTATAAAATATATGAAACGCTGACTTACCATAAATGAACGATCGGATCCAGCTTTAATAGGGGACTGTATAAGTTCTAATGTGGCGCTCTTGAATCCTTCTTCGTTATGATTGATTAGTAGTTCCGTAACTATCTTGCGTCTCGAAGTATCTGTACTTCCCTCTGCATTATTACCAACAATCTGCTCAATCGAATACAATAGAAACCGTAATTAAAGAGTCTGCATATTACTTAATAGTCTGAATATTTTATCCCCACATTAAATTAAATTTATAATGTTCAAATTTACTGTATACAGTACTAGTACAATAATGCCCAAAAATCGACGTAGTATTCACACGATAGGTGGCGCATCAAGTCTACGGCCCGCCTGAGCAAGAGTTAAGAAGCAATTTTTTTTTTTTTAATGTAGGCTTACTATGGATAGAAGGATGATGTTGATCCACTAGAAACTATCACATTTTATCACGTGTGATATAAACCTTAATATGAGATTTGAATTTCAGGCCTGAAATTTAAGCCTAATTTCAGCATTTTTATTATTACCGTCAAAACCGCTCTGGTAGCCAATCTTGATTCGGTGTTTTCTTCGTGGCTTCTACTCAGTTTCATATCATCAAGCTCCAGGCTTCCACTACGACTCTTAGAAAGGTCTTTGCCCATACTGTTTTGCTTAGCTTCCTTAATACGCTCTTCCCAAGCGGGAACAAAAGCCCATTCTACTTCGTGGCTTCTGCTGTTCAGTCCCCTAAAATAAAGTATTAATCAAACAGAAAGTATAATATATTACCTTTTCAGAAAGTTTGTGTAATAACCAACCACTAGCAATCAATCAGAGTATCCGATCTAGTGGGTTGTAAGAAAAAACGAACATACCAACTAGCCTCAACGCTATTCGGCTCCATCTCCTCTGAACTACTCGAGCTGGATGTGATCCATTGTCGGAATTTATTCATCTTCATTGAGTCTTTGATGAACTTTGACGAAACGTTTACAGTTGACAGTTTTAAGTCGAACAAATATTGTTCAGGTCTGTCGATTCCACTGCGTGTAGTAATATTGAAGTCAACTGGCCCCGAGAGCGGGAATCTGGGAGCAGACGGTACACTGGTAACCGGGATCCTTTTGGTCTTCATTTCCATTTCAACACCAACACTTTCTTTACCTACACTAAATGCTTTCTACGAAGAAGATAATCATCAAAAATAAGAAACATAAACTTGTTATCATAAATTATACATCACCAATCACTGATTGTACTGATAGATTTTGGGGGGGGGGGGTTGACAGGCATTCTACAATTTCCAATAGCCTCTGCTTTTTGTTTTATTTACCATTCCTATTATGAATAGAAAACAGAATGAAATTTAAATATTGCATAAAAGGGACACACTAATTCAATAACTTGCTTTTTTCATCAAGGAAGAGTGTGGTTATTTGAATGTTAATAATAATAATAATAATAATAATAATAATAAAGATTTATAAAGCACACATCTCCACTAATGGTGCTCAATGCGCAGTACACCACAAAATCCACAAAATTCCCAGAAGAATTTCAAGAAACATTCAAATACCAATTATCCAATTGAGGCAGTGTTGCTCCCTATATAAGTATGCGCAGATACTCAAAGGCAGTATGTTGAGCATCAGAAATAATAATAATAATAATAAAAAAGATTTATAAAGCACACATCTCCACTAATGGTGCTCAATGCGCAGTACACCACAAAATCCACAAAATTCCCAGAAGAATTTCAAGAAACATTCAAATACCAATTATCCAATTGAGGCAGTGTTGCTCCCTATATAAGTATGCGCAGATACTCAAAGGCAGTATGTTGAGCATCAGAAATAATAATAATAATAATAAAAAAGATTTATAAAGCACACATCTCCACTAATGGTGCTCAATGCGCAGTACACCACAAAATCCACAAAATTCCCAGAAGAATTTCAAGAAACATTCAAATACCAATTATCCAATTGAGGCAGTGTTGCTCCCTATATAAGTATGCGCAGATACTCAAAGGCAGTATGTTGAGCATCAGAAATAATAATAATAATAATATATATATATACATATATATAAGTATATGATCAATTATTGATAAAATAAAAAAGATATTAATACAAGCACAATTTAACAATGAAGAACGATGAGTGCTAGACCGTTTGTGACGTCAGAAAATATTGTATACTTAAGGTTAGAAATGTCTAGAAGTTTAATGTTGACTTTTAAAAAATATGTCTAATCTTACTTCTTTTGATAAAAGAATCGATGATCAGCTTGTCAAGAGAAGCAAAGTGGATTTCGTTTCCAAAAAGTTTGAAGTAGCTGAATAATTTCGGATCTTGATCTTTGTCACGTTTTTTAATGGGAAGCTATACAATTGAATTATGTTTGTATAATTATTAGAAATCAAACTAATGAATATTTTGTATGTGTCAATGAAACCTAACAACTGACAAATCCCAAACCCACTCGTATTGTTCCACAAATTCACATGTTCACGTACATTTACGTCGTTTTGTGATACTTAAGCAACAATATACAATATGAGGAAAGGTCAATTAAGCTACGTGTTTTGAAAGAATGTAAATATAACAAGAAAATTAGGATTATTTTTTACAGAAAAACATTTGTCCTAAATTTACCTGGTAATCAATAATCGATAATTTAAAGATTTTAGTACGTCTCTCATTCAGAGATTATAACATTTTAGGGCTTAATATTGCCTCCTAGAGAGTGCCTTTCATATGAAACCATAGAATAAAAACTAAGGAAAGGAAAAAGAAATGTTGTATGTAAATTATAACCCTACCAATTTATCTATTACATCATTGGCAGGACTACTTTCGCCGGTGGTACCGAGAGCGGTGTCTATAATGTAGCGAAGAGACTCCATACGCAATCCAGCTTCAACAAGACTAGTCTGGTACCCTAAGATGTTGACACTAAGTTTGGTGTTTCCGGACAGCGGAAATGGAGAATCCTTTTGACCAATGTGGTTTAACTCCAAGAAGGCACCAAGTTTCAGATCCTCTGACAGATTTAAAGTAAAATAATCACATATTTTATGATTCAGGATTTCTTATTCGACACATCATACGGTATATGATAAAAAAAAAATCCAAAGTACTGCATAAAAACAAGAGTAAATGAGACACAATTATATTAACTAAAATAAATACATAAGAGAATAAATATATAAATAAATAGCTCACCCAACATTTTCCCGATGACAATGTGTTTTGAGAACTGTGCACCGAGGTTATATGGCTTAGCAAATCGAAGGGCTTGTTTTACAACCAGAGAACTGATGAAAAATACAAAACATTGTATGAGAAGTATTATCAATTTTATAAATTGAATTTAATTCAATATGTTTAACTATTATAATTATTTGATATCTTGCATGCGTAGCCTGTAAATTCAGGCTGCATCTTCCTTTATATTTATTTTTTATACTTATCTGTTTTAAATATTAATAATGAATGATTGAAGATGAATTAATTCAATTGATCATATTCTACTGTGCAATAATTATTATGGTTACACAATCACTGCAGCACATATAATATATGAGAAACATACTACTATTCTAGTATACTGAAATGGTTCTTGGATATATAGACTAAAAGTTACTAATTCAACTAAAGACTAGATGAAATTCTTCCAAGTATTATTATTCTACTAATAGTTATTATAGTGTAGGCGTACTGTTTAAACAATATGATGTTCATGATGACGATAATGAGGAGGAGCATGATTATAATGATGGGGGTGGGCATACTAAAGAATAAGTCAGACGTACACATTACGATGGCATGGTATTGTCGAGTTGCTGACGCTGGTCAGATGAGAAAATACGAAGTTTCCGACCTGGTTGTTGGTTTCTTTACGGAGAGCCTCTGTAATTATTTCGACAACTGCTAGACTAGGCTTAGTCTCCATTACGATGTAGTAGGCAGCGATTCGCAACTCGGCGGCATTGGTTTGATTCAAGAAAACTGGGATGAGAATTGTCCTGATCTGTTGGAATATAAATAACATACACTTTTTTAAATATATATCTATGATGAAGGTACAGTAAATGTTAACATATGTAATGTTAACTCTATTATTATGATTATGCTTTCCACTTTAAATAAATAAAGAGCGGCGCTGAAAACATGCAATGTTGTTGGAGTATACCTTTATGTCACGTCACCAATATTGTCAGTGTTGAGTTTTTCCTTTTTTACACTAGTAGTATGTACCTTATATTCGTCATTTCCATACAAATATATATGTAAATAGGCCCTATGTATGCAATCAATCAATTAATCTTTATTTTCCATCATTAATTTTATAAATTCAAAAAAATTAGGATGGAGAAAGTACAAACAAACGCAAGGCCTGATAAGGTGTTGTACTACCTTAACAAAAAGTCATAATCAATTGCAAAATAGGAATATAAAAGACATTAAATATATAAATATATGTAATCCAGGCCTATATATGGACGGATGAATGGATTTATTCGGTGTAAACACCAAGAGTAGCCCACAAAAGTCTAAAGAAGACTAAATTCCAGTGGTTTATTCTGGTGGTGATTGGGCAGTACACCGGCAAACAATCCCGTACTCTTTTCCGAAGGGTGTGCTCCATTCTCAATTGTGCATGTGGGCCATAATGCACACGGGGCCAACGGTTTAACGTCTTATCCGAAATACAATGCACTATCGTAACTTGCATTTGAGTCCTCCAGCTGAGATACAAGCAGTGCAGCGATGGGAATTGAACCGGGAACCAAAGGATCTTCACAGTTCAGCACACACACAGAGGCTATCACCAGTTACTCTCAATGTCATAACAATATAATCTCAATATGATCATAACTAAAGACTAGATGAAACAGACATTAAAGTGTCTTGCAGTATTGAATTGAATTTATTCGGCATCATAAAAAATGAAAACATTAAAAATATCATACATTAAAAACATCAATTTACAAATTTACATCGAGATAGATAAAACGGTTCGAAGTTAGAAATTAAAATAGCAATAAAATATAATCTTTTGTAAAAATGTAAATTTTTTTGTTATTAATTTATCGTTTTTCTTATATACACCTTTCGAACAAAATGATGGGGATGCCTAGACAACCCATTAGAGTCCAAGAGGACTTATTTCCAATGGGGTCTAAAAAACCATCACCTAATAGAAGATTGTATATAAAAAAGGTCATAAAAAAAAAAAAAAAAATATGATATTGATAGAAAGTCAAAATATCAAAAGTTAAAGCTAAAAGTACAAAACCCTGGCATTTTCTCTAACGGTGGCTCTTGCTTTAAGATATTTTTTAATGTCAATATTAAATAAATCGAGTGAGGGACATATTTTTATATCTCTTGGGAGGGCGTTCCAATTTTTTATTGCTTGGTTTAAAAATGGTATTATGAGCATCACCACCATAACTAGGAACTCTTGAATTATTGTTGTTGCTGCCGCTAGTATTATGGCAATTACTATTCTTGATCTTATGAAAAAAATCCTGCATATAGCATGGGCTGATCTCATTGAAAATCTTAAAAACGTGACACAACCTCAAGTATTCAACCCTATATTAAACATTTAGTAATCAAACATAGGAACGTTCAGATTTACCGTAATGTTCTATAAGTAATAAGTTTCTTGCTGACGAATTAAATATAAGAATTATACAGGATCAGTTTACCTTGCTTGATTGTGTGATTGTGAGACGTCGTAGAGCGTATACAGCGTTAACTCTAAGTTCAACTTCAGCCTCGTTGTTCTCAATCAACTGTTTTAACTTGTCAAGTGTCTCTATCAACCCAGCATTACCAATAGCTTTCAGGTAAATCTGCTTAACATGGTTAAGCTCGGTTTTTTTTATTCCAGCCAGAAGAAACTGGAAAACAATCGACAAGGACAAAAATAATTAAACAAACTAAGTAGCAATAAAACGTTGATGAACAACAAATTTATCATCTTCTATGCAAGTGTATTTTGTTCGAATAAATAAAACAAGTATATGAATTATTATAAAAAAAAAAAAAAACCAAATGGAAAAAGTGGCATTATATGTATGTGTTTTTAGAAAAGAAAAAAGGTAGAGTTTATAGCGACTTAACAACAATATTTTGAAGAAACAAATTTAGATTTTTGTTTTAAAAATGTTTATTTTATGTCTTTCATTATTATAATAACTGTTAATGCACTCATACCTAAATGATCACCTAATTCTTACGAAGAACTTGATAAATATGATCACCTGTTTATAGTGCTCCTTTACCCATGGTTGGCATTTGATAACCTGCTCTTGACCATTACAGATTGTGTTTACAAGAGACCCAAATGAGAGTAGACATGTACCATTCAGCTGAACGTCCTCTTTCACAGCTTCACTCTTACAAAGTTCCTAAAAATTAAAAAATAAGCTTCCATTAAAGTGATCATGTAAGTTAGTTAGCAAATATATTGTTTCATATTGAATGGAAATTCAATGCAAGTAATCAAAATAGTAATCAATAAATCATTTCAAAATATGATGTTATTTACCATAGTTGAATTAACAAATAATTGCGTTGGTTTTTGCGTTAGAGCTAAGGAAGCTAAAATTTGCTGAGCATCGTCGCCAGAGATTTCCTTTTCCTCAATGAGTGTTTTGATCAAGGTATGGGCAGCTTTGGTGTCAACAAGAGGAAGAGCATCGCGAAGGAACTTCCTGGAAGAAAGAAAGCATACTTGCAAAAATCAAAGCAATAATATGAATTAAACGTGTTTACCATAAGGCACGAATTGTATAATCACAGACCGTATATCGTATAATCAGGGAACAGTTCCCTGTCTGTGGAAAAGTTGTGGGCAAAGTTAATGTGTTTCTACAACAAACCTTGATTTTATGAACATCATCCTCTCCATCTCGTATACTGCTTTGTCTGTAACTTCTTTTTGTTCCCTGAATAAAGGCTTTTCTTTACTAAATACTTTCACGAGATCCTCTAACTGTGCTTGTGAGCACTTTTTGAGACGTTGGACCAACTGCAGGAAAAGACCTGGAGTAGTTTCTGTCAACTCATCTTCGAGAACATTTCCGACCAATAACTTCAACAGATACGTTACCTGTAACCATTTAAAAGCAAGTGGAATGTAAAGGCACAATTGTGTAATTATTATTACTATATATGGTCATGATGTGATGTCATCATGACCAAATTTAGACATATCACATGTTTTGTTCAAATAGATTTTGATAGTCTGGACAGGGCTAAGCCACTTCTTATAAAGGACCAAAAAGTAGATGATTAGGGGTTTCAATCTGACGGCATTTGGGTATAAATAATATTGAGGATTTTTAACTAGATAGAAGGGTCCATGTGCTGGTGGTGGAGCACACTTTAAGTAGATCATGCAGGCACAGATCCATATCCAATATATATATGCTGATGCTGAGTGATGAAATGTCTTTATAGAATGAGGAGAATTTTGAATACAATACGCTGCCTGAGTGGAAGCCCATTCACATCTTTGTGATGCTTTGATCTGGAAATGAATTTAACTAAACGTGTAGCAGAGTTTATAGTTGAAAGTTTTTTGGCTATGTTAGGAAGTAAATATTTAATAGAATGACGGTGCAATAGTCTAGTCTTGATATTAGAGAATATTATATGTTGAAATTATATGGTAGGAGCGGTAAGCACTTGCTTTAAAAATTGGGTCTAACGCTCTAATAAATATGTATGTCTTTGGAAAAACGCAATTAAAATGCTTCTTTTTACCCATAAGTCCTGTGGACAGATAAGTAGTATGCTAAGGGGCAGATAACTGCAGCAGGACTGGGATGCTTTCTACAAAGTGCAGAATATTGTAAAATTGTGCATAATTATGAAGCGCATTTTGGACCATTTGGCAAAAGACAGACTATAATTCTTGTCTTTCTGTTGTTTTAAATTGTCATATTGATTAGGGTGAATTGCAATTACATATGACACCGTTTTCGATTGAGGCCCTCAACGAGACACCAAGCCATATTTTGAATAACACAAACAATACACACGATGCACTAAAACAACTCTCAAGAAAATATCATTAAGGTTTAAAAGTGAAGTATTAAAGAAAGAATTCCGACAGGATTTACATCTAGACTCCTGGAATTAATGGAAAGGCAAGCATCTTAACCACCAAGCTACAACCCACTTCTTGTTACATACTCTAATATGTATATGAGTTGTTTTCATTAATATTAATACCTCTTTTTCTGTTACTACATCTGAGGCAACACTGGGTGTCACTTGATCTCCAATCGTTTGGAAGACAAATTTGAGTCCACCTTTCAGCTGTTTGTTTTCTGGTTCTTGAATTAATTGCTCCACTGGAATGACCTCACGTTCTAAAGAAACAAGCTTCAACGTTTGGCTGTGTGAAAACAGAATAAGAAATCAACATAACTATTCACATTTAGTTCGTATGATAGTCGTGATTGAGATAAATCACTAAAAAAGCAAATCAAGACAGACTTAGCATATGCAGCTATCATAATTAAGGCAAAACATGCCATAATTCCATTGGGAATTTAGTTTTGAGCAGTGCCAATCAATAATATAGACAAGACAAACGAGAATAATCTAGGGCAATGTTCGAAGATAATTCAATTGATTTAAACTAACATTTGATTATAAGTTTGTATAACACCAACAGCTCGCTGGATGAAATATAAGTTAGAGAAATGCATACTTAATGAAAGTAACGATGCCTCCATCCTCAGTACTGTAAGGAGTGAAAACATGCTGGCCCTCGGCAACAACTGAATCGATTACGACATCATCAAGGGCTCTGGTGATGTTCAGTCGAATGAGTCCATTTGACCTCAACAGCTTCTGGTTTTCGCAAAGTGCACACTTAAAACCCCGCATCACAGCTGTACTAGACATGCTTCGATCTACGCAGTTGTCATAGTTGACCACTTTTGTAACGTTATAGCCACTGAATATTTCTGTAGGAAAATGGTTTGTATTGTGTCATGAAAAATCTGATCGGAAAATTATGAAAGCTGTATTATTTACTAATACCGTAACTAATTTCCAATTAAAATATTCAATATAATTTCGTTCTAATTATCAATATACAGGTTTCGTCATCTATTTCAATGTTTAATGTACACTCAATTATCAATTATTGCCTTTCTCGATTCATTTATTTTCTGCCTTGTATGACTATAGGCCTAAGTAAGAATATTGCACCAAATGCAATTTCTTATACCGCTCATTCGCTACCTCTCACTAAGCCCTACCGTACCTGTTAGTTGTCCATTGTTGTATTCTGGGATTGATGTCCATGGTTTGATGACATATTGAGATTCACACTCTCCACTGACTCCTTCCTACAATAAATCAAAGTAAAACAATAAATTCAATTTCTTCAATAAATATTAGGGCTATAAGTAAAAAATATTTTAAGTAAAAAATATTTTAATTAAAGAAATTAATCATATATTTATTGAATTATGATGCTCAATGAAAGTTTAATTTCCAGTAAGACAATCGATTTTCCCTTAAAAAACCCTTTTTTTAAATGGAGAACGTACATCTTATTACATAATTAATTAAAAATCTTTTAGCTAAATTATTCGTGACAATTTAAACTAATGTAGATTCAGAAAAGGGCAAAAAAGAGATAAATATATCCCTAGTTCTCTTCTGCATCTTTTATAATTACTTGACTGTGTGCGTTGTGGCCATATTATGGAAAGATTTCGACCACCCTGTTTTCAGAAACCTTGGTTTCTTTATTTGAACTTAAAACAAATGTATCAATATAGACAGCAACGATGAGATAAAATAACAAGATTGAATAAAAAAAACCTTGAACTATGGTGCGATAAACATGATCTTTGGATTGTTATTCAACAGCAAAATACATATTTAAGATAAGAGATGATAGTTAATCGTTTTCAGACAAGACCAGTGAATCAATAACTTCATGGGTTCCACTCGTACGATCTAAACCACAAACAGTGATGTAAAATCCTATATACCAATATAGACCTAACCATTAAAACAAATAATTTAAAATGAAAAAAAAAAAAATAGGTAGAAGGTACAAGGTAGGCTAAACAATATTTACCTTGCATTTTTCTAATCTTTTTCAACATTTGAATATGATACAGGCAAACTACTGCTTATGAATATTGAAAACCGTCAATACAATATAAAAATAGAATAATGAACTGAAAAATACGAGTTTTCTTTCTTTCTTTCTGTGGATATAATAGTGGAATATAGTTCTACACTATTTACATGAACTGTAAACAGCACTAGTTTTATCTCGATATGTAAAGCAGCACCCAAATTACATTTTTTGAACAGAAATCTAAATTGGCCTTATAATCTATTTAGTTCCAAATTGACTTGAAGTAACTTTAGTCTGTTTATAAACTTTACAAACATAATCTACGTAGGCCTTGTGAGTCATGTTAGCTAAAATACAAAGCTTCATTATACCTCAATGACACTGAAAAGTCTGTCTTGTTGGAGTTCATCTCTCTTGATTTTGTTGACATTAATAGGATTATCAGTGCTATCGCCGCCTTCTAAATTGACTTGAAGTAAATTCAGTATACCACGTCTCATGTTGATAGACCACTGGGGCTCGTTACCCGAGGCCTCGATCTCAGAAATCTAATAATATATTTAATTCATCATGAAGTATCACTATTATAAATATAAAAACGACGAAAACTTTCGACCATTATAACTTCTTCTGTTTCTCTTTAAAAACTTTAATTCAAAGCTTAAAATCTCTTTCGTTTTCCGGTAACCTTTTGCGTTGCACATTTGAACTAGTTTGGAATTAGCACCAAATAAGGTCGATATATTGTTTTTAATACATTTTTATTATCATATTTTTGGGGACATAAAATACTGTAGTGTAAGACTATTTTAACAATGTTCTAAAATTATTTATAAGAAAGGTTTTTAATTACTAAGCCTGCACGATATTGAAATTGAATAGGTTTCTGGAGCTCAGCTGTCAGCTTTCGAAGTTCTTTCTCGGATAAATCGACAAAGTTACTGTCAGTCTGCTTCTTCAGAGGTTGTTCCAATTTCTGTTGCAAGTGTTTTAAAGAAACTTCGCTTAACTGGAAAAAAAAGAAACGTCAGAAATATAAATTTAGACATAACACCAAGCTACTGTATAAAAAAACTGCCCTTTAAAATTACATAATAGATTATTTGAATTACATAATAAATTATTTAAATTACATAATAGATTATTTGAATTACATAATAAATTATTTAAATTACATAATAGATTATTTAAATTACACAATAGATTATTTAATATATAGTTTTATAATTTGGGATAATCAATTTTATATATTACTACCTCTTCTAGTTTATATTGTTTTCTGCGGTTCATTTATAGAAACTTTGCAATAAAAATAATAAACAGAGAGACTTGCAGTAGATCAAGGAATGACGCGTTTAAATAAACCTATTGCTTCATAGTACTGTATATTGTATATCGTGGAAAGTTCAAAAACATTTAGGACTGTGATTCAAATAATACGTTTTACTTTAAATTAACAAAATCAAATGATGGAAGTGATGGAAATGTTAAAACCTATGATCTAGACCTATCTTTTATCATAAAAACCTAATCACTTCTCGGGCCCAGAGCGCAGAAATATCAATTTTATATTATGTACGGAACATATGCTAACAGCTGTCTCTTGACCCTCTGTTGAGGTGTTCCTCTTTGAACTCAAATAATTATAGTTTACAGATTGCGCTTGGGCCTGCACATAAGCAAATTAATGCACAAACATTTATGTCGTTCATAGACCATTCTCTAAGCCCCTCCCAGTGGGTATTGTTGATAAACTGTGGACTAAACTTACGTCAAATTTAATGTTTGTGGGGCATGCGCGTTTTCCTAGCTATTACATGGCACGTTCTGATTGGCCACGGTAGTTAAGTGTGACTTTTAAAGAGTTGAATGTTTGGTGGGAATGTGACACGATTACTGTATCCTTTTTCACCGTGATTTTTGTCTTTGTGAAGTGCATAATACATTTCAATATTACACTACTGGAAAAATCACCAAAATTACAATTTATACGGCTTCGACATTATGAAAAAAAAAAACTACAAAAAATCAAAACAAAAAACACCTTTAGACCTATACGGCTAAATTGCTATTTTAAAAACTCTAGTGTAGGGTCTACTACATTTTCACTAGAAAAAAAAAATAACGATGCCATTTTGTTCTATTACCCATTATAGTCATCAATTCACTGAGTTTTAATTCACGAAAAAACTTTTGAAGTAGGCCTATTTATCAACAAAGTACCGTGTAGCATGTTGTTTAATATATGTAAACATCAAATCTCTGTTATTTCCTTACAACAAAAAGAAATCGGTCATTACTGTCCGACACTTTTTGTAAATTCGACATACAATACTGTACTTATTTTCTTTAGATGACTTGACTGATAAAACAAACATTTTCGATATAGGCCTATATAAAGCAACGCGTTATGAATTATGTACGGTACATGAAGTGTATCGATTTTGAAAACAAATCTTTGCTCTTGGGGAAGGAAAAAATATATGCAACTTACCAACATACGAACAACATCCAGATCATACTGTAATAGAATTTTACACTTGATCTTTAAGCCGGCGTATTCTTGACTTGTCCCTGGGATTCCAGTCAATAACTGTCCCTCGTAGTCATATCGCACTAACTTGTCAGGACTAAATTGTTCTTGTTCTATAAAACCAATACAGCACGGTAACAATTATTTACTTTACTACTTGCAGTTTCTATTGTTTTATAGAGGCCTAGCCTATACAGAGTAATCAAGTAGTTCGAAATCGAGACTACGTGATTAAAGATTTTTTAAACGTATAGGTCTGTTGATTTTTAAGATATCAAATTCCATTATAAATTTATGTAAAAAATAAAGCATGTCTACAGTACAATCTAGGACAGAATTAAAATATAGGCCTATTAATACTTATGTCACACGACTTTTGTGTTTTATGACAATTTTATAGTTTATTTTCTTGACTAACCATCATGAATAACATTTATAATGTTTAAATTTACAATTCCCAAATCAAGTTCGTTAAAAAATCTATCGAGCAATCAAAGTAAAGCTTAACAGTTTAGGAAACTTACGTCCATATGCAAAAGCAGCTGATAGTAGGACGATGACAGTGAATTTCAACATCCTGAAGATCCAGGTTCTGTTAAATGTAATAAAACAAAACTGTGCGCCGCTGTGGGCAAAATGTGAAGTTCCAGGGCGGTAATCACTTTATATGGAAAGGTTTCTGAAATGCGATAAGCTGATCAAAGAGCCAATACGATGACTAACGGGACAGTAAGATAAGCAGAAGATATCGCAGTGAATTACCATCGAGGTGCTAATTTTCTGTCTAGAAGTCAACGAGGAATCATTTTGAAAAGATGATGAATAGAGTGATAAACGATTGCTGACAGCATAGGCCTACGTGTCAAGGCATTAATGGTATATTGATTGAGTAGACCCGTGACAGCCACTGTATATCCAACGTCTGCTGGATAATTATATCTAACTTTATTATAACTACATAAAGTTCTGTTCTAACCTGTGTACGTTTATATTTTCATCAATTTTGTAATCTGCTGTAAATGTGTGGAAATAAAAGTGATTTGAATTGAATCGATATACAAAATGCACTTTCCACTTTCCTTTAAACACACAGCCGACATACCATGATATTAATTATTCTATCTTTTATTATCTACCGAAAATCACAGTAATAGTAGGCCTATCATCATAATCATTGCAGCCGGTATATATCGACCAGGGCATCCTCATCTTCTTTGACAGGCTTTCATGTTACAGGAGGCCAATGCGGGTACTGCAAACACCACATCCACATCGATTGCATACTAAGGTAGAGTCTGTAGCAACATATTCCGGGGTGGCATGACGCCTTTAACGGGCTCCATAGCAACACGAGCATCTTCTGCCACTGTTGTGCCTCTGTGGATAATCTGCTTCCATTGGGAGCAGTTAGCTGCCTATAACATACTAACTCACACAAGTCATATATATATATATATGACTTGTGTACCGGTAATGAATATTCAGATCACGTGGGTTACGAGTCGCCTTTGATCATCTTTGAAATTAGCTCATACGTTTTGGATTTTTATTAATATTATTATTAGTAGTAGTATTATCATTGCCATTATTATTATTAAATACTTAAGTAGCATTCACATCGGATCAGAACCTCAGTTTGAACCGCGTTTCCAATATGCTGAACGAAACATCCATTTTCTTACATAATGAATAGATTTTCCAACCCAAAAATTCACCTTTATAGGGCTACAGCAAATTGTGCTCAAGCTGTTATCAGTGTCTGGTTGGCATATGCCTGCGTTTTCTAGTTTTAATAACTGGTTTCTGTTCAGCACGAATTGTTAATGGTTGGCCTACAGCCTTATCGTTTCCGTCAGAGATAAGGAGGCGGCCACCCCCATTGATAATTTCTGCATTTTCATATCTTTGTATGTTACATTCTACATGGATATTTACCATTTTGTCGTTGGTACAATTTTTTAATGTTTATTTATTACTTATTTGTTTACAACATACCTAAAAAAATTGTAACCTTCCAGCAAAGCTAAAAAGGTCAGCTGAAGTACGGGGCCTTCTTTCAAGAAAATTAAAATACATGACAATTCAATTTATACAGTCAGCTTTCAACATGTACTATAAAATATAAAACTGTCAGAAGCCATCTTTGCGTAATCCATAGATTTGTTTAAAATATTTCTGTCAACTTTTCGTATTTATGATACCAACTAAAAAATTATGAAATGTGAAAACTTTGAAACCCCCTACATTTCTATAGACCTAATATAAATACGTCAATAGCTTTTTTTACCTGTGATTAGTTGACAAACAACATGATTAATGTTTAGGCATAATCTGTTTGACTTTGAAAAGCAAACAAGTATTGTTGAATAACATCCATAAAGGCCTACATTTAATTTCTTTTTTATGATAACAGATATCATGTTAAACACTCAACATAGTTAAGGTATATTTACATTCCAACAATAAACAGGTCACGAGTGCACATTAGTACACACAGACACACACCAGCAGCGAGCGTACATGTGATAATCATACGCGCGGCACGACAGCCAATCGTAATGCAGGGCATATTTTCAACATAAACAATACATATTTTTTAGCCAATCAAAAATCACGACACATGCTATGACATACAGGCACTAATACTTGACATGTTATGAGAACTTTTGACTGTTGTAGGTCGTATGATTCAATATTGTCTGGCAATCATTTCACTGCAACATGGCTAAGTACTTTCCTGGTAAACAGTGAACTTACACTTTGTTAAATTATGACCCACTAGAAAAAAAGAAGTCACTTAACAGAAAGTTTGTTTGGCCAAGTGCGCAAAAAACAAGTCTATTATACAGGTATCTGTGTATAAAAATAGCATATGGATATTTCAAACATATTCACAGAACAAATCATGAATGGCTTTCAAAGTTTAATGTATTTATTGGGATATAACACACAAATGTGGCAAAGACAGGCTAAACCAGTCACTCGTCGGAAAAATCAATTTTAGTTATTAATACAGGGTTAAACAGTAAAATGAGAGCTATAAAAGTGTAAAAAAAAATCATTTAAATCCGACACTTCGTTATGAAGTTACACGAGTTTAAACATACAGCTGTTTAAAGAACAATATTTGAGAAATCAGCCTTCAAAGTTTACGATTTTAGGCACTTCTTAGGCAGAAACCATTACCAAATTGTTAAAAATTTTTGTTTTAACATTAAAAATGAGGAAAACAGTACAGCATGATACACAGATATGTAAAGGTTAGTTTATTGAAATAAAATAAATTTCAAAAATTTTGACATTCCAGCACTGGATAAATAGCATGGATATTTTAAACATATGCACAGAACAAATCATATATTGCTTATAATAAAGAGGAATCTGCAAGTGAAAATATCATCTCAACTAGGATTCCACACCACCAGGTTTCTTGCTGTATATGTACAATGAGAATTATTTACCAATAAACCTCTTTATATTAAGTCTTGTGTTCAAATCGGTTTGTTTAAAAACCTAACTCCTTTAGCTAAATATATTTACAGTACATCACTAGGTTTCTCTTCCAGTTTTTGCGGATATACGAATAAATAATAAACCTGGATTCTCTTGATAAATCAATCCAATGCATCAACAACTGTAAAAGTAAAGTTTATTGAAACATTAATGGTGTATCATGTTTACCTAACAAACTAAAATTGATTGCTATGTATATATAACTAGAATTATATTTAAAAATTCGACCACATAAGAGTTTTTAATATCTGTATTTTAGCAGCAGATAATTTATATATAGTCACCCATAAACACATAATGGCTTCTAATTTATATAGTGTGATTGTCTCTAATAAAGAATACTTTATTCTGTATCTATACAGATGTCTATTAACTTTGTTCTAAAGGTTCGCATTAGGTCAAGAGTGAGTTGTTCACACAAAAACACATGATAACCATCATGTAGAGACAACTGTCATAGGAGAAGCCTCAGACTACCCATATAGTGGTCTCATATGGTAGAATAACCAAATCATAAGGGTTTCAAGTTAATGAAAACACACTAGGAGGATATGAATGTCTTTTTTTCAAAACTACATTTAAAGCCAGGCTCTGGTAAAAACAAAAATGTTTGATATGTTGTACCACTGATTTTTTTAAAGACATAAAGGATGTTTGATGAAAAACTTTGGAATGGTTAATGAAATATAGATTTTTTAATATTTAAAAACTCGGGGGTGGGGGAATGAAGGTGGGAAAAAAGGGTGGTTACGCCCCCTTTCCTCAGTTTTTCTATCAAAAATATGTATCTCATATACCATTCTCAAATTTTTCGTCTAACACACTTTTTATGTCTCAGAAAAATCAGTTCTACAACTTATCAACATTTATTCCCCCTCCGGAGCATGTCTTTAAAGAAATACAAACAGAACTTAAAAAAATAAAATTCATTAATGGCTTACATTAAATATGTTATCTATCAATTATATTACAACTATATATTTTCATTTATTTATTTACTACTTACTTCCGGGAATGTTGACTTTGTTTGACCGTAAAACATCAGCTTGTACGGCATTCATGGTCATGTATAAACTGTCAGGGTTGTTCTAAAAAAAATAGTGAAACATATATATAATCATAGTATAGAGTGCTACGTATGCAGTATTTCACCATCTGAGACCCTTCCCTCACTACCATAGTTAGTAGTCAATATGCCAGAGAGCAACCTGTTGAAAAAATCTTTTTGCTTAAGTGCTGACAAAAACATGTGATGATATGCCCAAATGTGGTCATGATGACATCACATCATGATCATATATAGGCACATCATGACTATATATGGGCACACAACAGCTTCGCTTGTCATGTTTTTCCCTTTTCTGCTAATTTGTAACTTTTTATGACATTTGTAATGAAAATAAGATGTGGAATAAAATAAAGATTGATTGATTGATTAATAATTTCAATACAGTAGAAGTACAGTAGTCAGTTTACCTACTATTAATATATTCTCAATAATTCAAATATGGTACTTACCAAAAACAATTGATAGAGATTATCACCCATCGCCTCATTAACATTCTCATCAACAATTGGAAATGTTCGAACAAGATACTAGAAATGAAGATATGAATAAAAAATCATTTAGCAACCAATGGTTTTGATATTTTGATATATTGTGAAATATTCAGCCATGCATCCACTTACAAAATAAAATTGAATTATCAATTATTTTTAGAAATATTTAACTGAATTCTTCTGACTAGTATTTTATTGATTCACTATTGAGGCTTGCCTTCCCAAAACCAGCGTACTGTTGCTAAATGTTATTAAACTGAGTAATTGACATGTTGACATAGACGCAAAGCCCCGCCCACAAAGTCCAGCTGTCTAAGGAAATTAAAGTGTCCGAGAAAAAGTTTTTGATCACGTGACTAAATGACGCTCGCTGATTAGTCGGTTTATCTGTCAATCAAATCTCATTGAGATGTTAATTGTGTAGAGAATCCGTAATACTTTTACTCATAACTTTGGCAATTAGTAAGTTGATTTTAGTAAATACCAATCAATTTAAGGCTTATAATTTGGAGAATATGAATTTATTAAAAAGTAAATTTTAAAGATTCGGTCACTGAAGGTGGTTTTGGGACGGCAAGCCTATATAGAAAGTAAAAACACATCACAAGTATTATAGTAATATCATCATCATTGTTTGATACTGGTTTAGGTTTCTTGGTGTATATAATATACAAGATGTTGTCATATAGCCTATAATTATTTTTTCCAGATCATAGGCATTGTTCAACATGTTTAATAGAGGCGATTGCATACTCACATTATACCTACATATCTACTCAGGATACCCTACCTCTAAAGTGATACTAGCTTGTCTTTGACTGTCGGCATGATCTTCGTTGCCCATGGCAACCATCAGATTGCTGACGCAACGGAGCTGTATCAAACGTTCGCACAAGTGGTTTGATTGGTGAGATAAAATTCTAAAGTGAGAAAGACAATAACAACATCAATGATGATTAAATTCATTATACAGTAAAACAAATAATGATTAAAACAATAATTATAAAAAAATATTAATAACAATAAATGATAAGAATCAAAATAATACCTTACCCAATAACCTTGGCAGCAGCAGCTTGCTGGACAAAAACAGGTAGAGGGCGCTTTAACTCTGGTACACTCGGATCTGATTGGGTAAAGAAAAATACACTTGAAAAAAAACAATCATAAAAACATTTTAAACAATAATTAATACTGTAATCATCATTGCAAATTCTCAATATTACTTTAGTTCAGAGTGCATAATAATAGAAATTCAAATGATAAGAACAATTTTTCAATCTCTGTTTTTATAATACAATTTTTATGGTATTTTATGAGCCTCACTTCTCACACTAATGGTGATTACAGGTCACTAATAGAAGGGGAGACAGCTGTAGCTCACATAATGCGTAGAGCATTTTGTTATTCATAACAAGTATGCAATTCATTAGGCCGACCAGCCCTCCATAAACTAACGTTAGAATACCGCACTTTCGGCGGTAAAGAACAATTAAAACCTCATAAAAAAGGCAACTAATCCGTTTACCTATAATTGAATCCAAGGACACCAGTGTTAAATACTCATTACTTATCCTTGATAATGTGTTAATCCAATTAATATAGTGAGATAACGTAACGTTAGTTTATCGAGGGCGGGTTGAGCTAATGTTTTGTTTCTACCGTCTAAAATTTCTGGTTGTTTCTTTATCTCATCTTTTGTTGGGACTAATGATGACACTAAGCTCCTCAATAGTGACTCTTGAACTTCGTACTCCATTAGATCCTTGATCAATTCAATAGCTGAAAATAAAATGAAAGTGAAATACAGTACAGCACAGTATCAACAGCATTATAGATAATAGCACGGTATGTTATCATAAGATATCTTCTAAACACTTTACATACAAATCACAGAATAAGCTGTATGATTATTATATATGTCTTGACTTTTGACATAGAATGCACAGTTCAAACTATGTGGGCTTATTTTATTTTTAAATATTTTAACTTTAAAAGTAGGTCACTCACCAATTACTTGGTAAAACTATAATATCTTTACTATGAGGCTTTTTTGGAATGGAGTTATACTGTGATGAGACGAGACACTCACAGGATTTGAACCCAGGATCTCAGAATTGGAAGAAGAGCCTTTAAACCATGTTGCAACAAGCTATAACCCCACTTACCAGCAAATAAATCACATACACATATTTTGTTTTTGATCAATAGACCAGCAATAAATATATGATATTAAAATATTAATTGTGAGATTTTTTTTACATATTAGTATTGGTAATAGATATTACCAATACTATAGGCTTCTATGAACATAATCATATACAGGATATAGAATGAATATGTCAATATATTATGATTACCTTCGTACTGAACTTCTAGGTGATAACTTTTCAGCAATGCTACCACAGGTTCAACAATCGATGGATTTGCATGTCCCACAATTCTCTATCAAAATGTATAAAGTTTTTGTTAAATTCATGTTTATAACAAGATACAATAATAAGAAATTTTCAAAACAGAGAATGTATGCAAAACACAAGTGTTCATTATTTTTGTAGATATAATTAACACTATTATAAAGCTGCCTAGAAAGAGGTTGAAGACTGTTCCATTCTCGGGAATTTTATTTTTATTCCACCCTCCTCCGATAACCTTTAAAAAAATAAGTATGTGAAACAAGGAATAACAAAAGTCTCCCTTAATTGATCACATATTATATATTAACTTGAGAAAAATATCTTAAAAGAGAAATTAGTATTAGTATATCAGTTGCAGTAGTTCAGCTGGTAAAGATAAACAGTATTCTAATAATGCCCTGTCCAGACTATCAAATTTTATTTGACAAAAACATATTACATGCCTAAATAAGGTCTTGATGACATCACAGCATGACCATATATAGGCAGATCATGACTATATATGGGCATACAATTGGCCCATATTTCAATTGGCAACTGACTGGCATAATGTAAACTTAATGAATAAAACAATTAAAAAAAAGAGACTTTAAAAAGACCATTTATTCAATTTTTGCAGGCATTTTTTTGTTGTTAGGTATTTTGGTATATTTGCCAATATACCTGTACAATGCGTAGTGTCTGTGTTGCCATTTGCTGTGCTTTAGGCGAAGAACTTGACAACAATGCAATCAAGCCTTTGTAGACTTGAACCTGGAACTTAGGGTTTCCCTCAGCAAGCACCTGAAGAAGCATCCTTGCTGCATCTTGGGTCTCTTCAGATTTGGACCTAGCCAAGCATTCAGCAACTGCCATTATGCCTAAGGAAAGGATAAATCATATCGTATTAACAAGTTCAGATGCTGTTATTAATCAACTTGCAGTCGAGGACTAAACTGACATATTCAATGTTATTCAGATTTAAACATCAAGATACATTTTAGCCTTAATGCAACTCACCATAGCTTTCACATATTAACTCTTTATAGTTACGGCCAGCACTTGCAATGCTCATAAGTAGCTGCAATGCCTGAGCCTTATCTTCATCTTTTCCTTCCCTCAGGCCAAGAATCTCAAGTGAGGTTAACACACCACCAACTTCCATGAATTCAGACAGGAATTTGTGCCTATGAAAACCAGAAAAGCAAATTTGAGGAAGTTGATTTAATCAAAGAGTGTGTCGAGTTCGTCTTTGCTATTTCCTCAATTTCAACAGCATCCATCATCGTGCAATATTTGTCAAATATTGACAAGACATATTTAATTTGTTTTTTGGTGCTTTTGCTATCGGCTTAATCAAGAAGTATAGGCCTAGGCTAGTCCTTCCAGGAGCAGCCTCCATAATTATTGTTTATTGTCTACTTGCTGATCCATGGCGCGGTCAAGGGCCAATCTCTTTCATCGTGGAGGTCGCAGTACCTTCAACCGTCAGCGCAATGGTGAGACCTAGAGTTTGCATAACGCGGCAGGGCAAAAAAGAACTAGAATCTATGTATGAGGTATTTAATATGAAATAAAAACATTCCATACCCACTTGATGAAGATACAAATATGGTGATTGCTTGTAGTTGTAGCTTAAGACATGTTCCTATCATATAGCTGTTTGAGTATACATAAGGAAATTAAATCAAAAATACAGTTATCATTATTTTTCAAGGGAGTGACATATTTATACAGAGCAGTGCTTGCTTGAGACTTCTTCACTGTGAAACACACAAAGGCTACCTGCAAAAGTCTAGGGATATATTTCCGATGGGATCCTTATTGTGAATTGGTCTGCATACCAGTAGGCAAACCCCTGTTTGTTTTCAGAAGAGTATATTACTGTACATTCTTTAAAATATACATATGGACCATATTGCACATAAGCACAAAAGCTTAAAAGTCTGTTCCAATACACGGAGTGTTAGTAACTTGTGTTTCAGCCTTTCAGCACACACTTGAGTTCTCACAAATCGGTTACGATTTTTATGTCAAACTTATAATCTGGTTGAAAAAGCTATAAATTTGATATTTATATGCAGCCTATTCTACCACCCTTTCTCCATCAAAGATATACTCTCGTATGCCAACACTTGATTAAAAAACACACAGTATAATAAAACTGCAACTTCAGGCCTAATCTAATAATAATAAAACTAAAAAAGGGATACGTTAAACGAAGCCATGCTGTCAACCGCGTGAAAAACAAGCTTGCAGCCTGTGCAAACTCAGCCTCTAACTCAGGACCAGTCTTATTCTGGTTGTTTGCGATGAAATTTGCTAAAATCTTAGCTCGTACTGACTTTGAACCTTTATCCCATTCCTGAAGCAGTGACATAATATTTGATGTTGCAGACTGTTGTTTTGCCATATTTATCAAACTGTTGCAGTCTGTTTACTATTCTGGCGATACTTCAATTAATTCATTATCTGGGAATGACAAAAAAGAAGACATTCTGATTACTACCGACAGTATTTAGTAATTGTTTTTATAACACTAATTTATAAAAATGGCATCCATATGAAGTAGTCTAGGTTTAATATACAAGTTGCCAAGGCCCTAGTCCATGTTGACTAGGCCTAGCTGGCCAGCCAACCAAGGCCTAGAACATTGGTTGGGCCAATTCCACCCTTTGCCTTTTTTTACCACAGTACTAATGTAATAAGAATACTCGTAATCGTATTAGTTTTTTAGGTACTTGTTATCATTAATAGGCTAGTCTAGACTAGGACCTAGGATGGCCCTACTTTTAGCTAAGGTACCTAGGCCTAAGTAAGCCTAGCCTACCCTAATTAGGCCTCTAGTCTAGGCCTACTTAAAAAATACATATATTAACACAGAGAGACAGGCCTAGGCGAGGCCTGTTAATTATAAGCCTATATAGGCCTAGGCTTAAGCTAGGCCCCTATATAGTAGTAGGCCCTTGGAATAGAGGCCTCCCTAGGCTAGACTAGGGCCTAGCCTAGCTAGGCCTAGTAGGGAGGCATACCTTAGGAGGCCTAGGGCCGCCAAGGCTAGCCCTAGCCTAGCTAGCTAGCCTAGTCTAGCCGGCCTAGGCCTAGGGCCTAGTCCTCTACGCCTAGTAGTAGCCTAGGCTAGATAGGTAGGGCCTGGGCCTCAGGCCTAAATATTGTAAAATATAATACAGTCAATACATACAATATGAAGTTTCTGAAAGAGTACACAACAGGCTAACATTCAATCAATTTTGCAAGCACCCAGCATAGTACAGCCTAGCCTAGGCTACATGATGTACCTCCGGTTCCGGTTGGTTCGGATTTGATTGTGTACGGTTGCTACCATCACTAATGAGCATGCGTATATGAGAAAGAGGTCAGGGGGCACACTGAAGAAGTTTCTGTGTTAAGTTGAGCACAATTTGTAGGCTAATTTGTATGGATTTTTGATTGCGATATTGTTTCGCAAGCTGTAATATCGTTCTGCAATATATGTATAATTAACTTTAGAAACTAAATTGACAACAAGTTTTTTAGTTACATCTAAAATGGCGGAAAATAACACTGAGGATTTCGAGTACCATGTTGTATTTCCTCCTACCGTATCGAAAGCTACCGGCGATGAATGCTTTGGCGATGGTCAAGAAGACAAATCTTCCCACGAAACGGTTGTCGTTCTGCTTGGCTGGGCTGGTTGTTTAGATAAGCACCTGGCGAAATACAGTGCAATTTATCAGCAAAAGGGGTATGCTACGATCCGTTATACAGCGCCCACTAAACATGTGTTCCACCAGACAGAAAAAATGCGTGAAACTGCTATGAAGATTTTGGAATTGTTATTCGATCTTGGATTGGAAGAAAATAACATCTTCTTTCATGTATTTAGTAATGGGGGATGCTTTCTTTATCGATTTATAACTGAAATTCTGCATGACCATAAAAGTGGTGAGCTCACAATGCTTCGAGTGTGTGGTTGCATCTATGATAGTTGCCCAATTGATATAACCCTGAAGAACTTGTTTTTTGCAAGATTCAACGCTTTGACTGCAAATACAGGTGGAGGACTGTTAACAAGAATTTTCAGTGCTGTCGTCATTTTAACGGGAATCATCGCTAGTTTCTTCTACCCACCAGCTTGGGGCAATATGAAACTTTGGTTCTCATTTATGTCAGCTATGAAAGATGATCGCGGTCGTTACCCGCAACTTTACCTTTATTCAAAAGCAGACGTCATTGGTCCGTATGTTCCCATTAGCAATATAATTGCTGAGCGACGCAAGCATGGGATAGTAGTTGATGAAAAATGCTGGACTGATTCACCACATTGCGGCCACCTGAAGGTTCATCCCGAAGAGTACACAAAGTTGTGTCATAGCTTTATAGAGAAATGCTTATCTGAAGAAACAGAAATCTAAATATATCATTATCTTAGCATCACCGATGATGTAACTCTTGAAAAGACGATATGGATTGCCATAAAAATAGCAGATTATAAGACATTGCTAGTTGAGCTTAAAAGTTCTTTGAAATTGTATTATTCCTTTGTTGAGAAATGTTTATCCATAATAGCACTTCAGTCAATGCAATCCAAAAAAGTGCAGCAGAAAAGCCTAAAGAAAGGCAGCTAATATGAATAACCACTGGATAGATCCATTTTTAGCAGTTTTTATGTTATTAAGCCTGGTTGGAAAACAATTGTTAATATTTTGCATAATTTGGATGCAATTTCTATAATTTATTGCAAGATGAAAAATCTAAAATTATTTTACAAAAAATATTTATCATCATTGTTATCTTTCTATAAACTGGATGACAAAGTTGGAAAGAAATGAAAAAATATCATTTTGAGTTTAACAAGTCAACCAACCAGAGAAGAATTTCTTTTTTTTATAACTGAAGCCCCATTGCCAAATTTCTCTGATTTGCCCAGCGGTGTTAGATTTGTATCTTACAATTAAGATCAAACTTGCTTGTAATATTCGTAAGAAATGTTACATTTGAATTTTTTGATGTAAAATACATTGGATTTGTGTACAGTATGTAGACCTATAGAGATTATATGAAAATACTGTCGTTCCATTTTGTGCAATGGTTAACCATCTTGAAAACCAGATGCACTAACAAACAACATCGTAAATAAGTGTGACATACCTGTAGGCATCTATTGTATGTACATGTATATATAAAAATGTTCCATTTTGTGCAATGTTTAACTGTCCCAAAATCCAGATGCACAAACAAAACTTTAAAAACTTACTTTTGTTAGGAGTTTGCTTAAATCTTAATGTGTGAATACTTGGAAAAGTAAAATCTTCCTGCTACCATTCCAGTTTGCTTTAAGTAATTAAATATATTTCTCAGTGTGCTTACAAATCAAGTCAGTATCAGGGCAGACTTAGGGAGGGGTACGGAAGACATGTTTCTCCAGTTTTGCCACTGCCGTCTTTTTTTTTTAAATGCAACAAAAAAAATTTACAGATATAATGTTGCAATATTTCGTAACAGCACTGAATCAGATTCATTATTGGGTACATATTTATCTGTAAAGTACATCTACCCCTAAGTATCTACAAACCAAGATATTTGTAAATGTAATGAAGAGGGGATGTTTTGGAAAACTGATTCTGGCAGTAGTAAAAACCTGGGGTACAACAGTACCCTGTCCTTTTTTCCCTCTGTCTACCTTATACTGTAGTACCTGTTATTTTAAAATGATATATGTCCATAGTTGTGCAGTAAGTTTGTTGTATAAAGGTATAATACAAAAATGCTTTAAAATATTACAAAATTGTTGTTTTATAAATTAATGAGTTGTTATACTTTACTGTAGTATAGTAAGCCTTCTCAAAAATTGTCATAAAAAAGTTTGTATGCATGTTATGAGTTTTTTTTATTAAAATCTTTATACAGTACTAATGAAATTTTGTGTGATTGGCTTTACACGACTACATCCAGACAAATCAGGATATTTTAAGTAGGAGAACTACTATGACAGCCAGGATTACAGGTTTCTGCTGGCAAAAAAAAATATTTAGCAATTTAGCTTTTGGTATGAAAATCATTAGCCAAAACAAAAAAATATAAGCAATGATAACTGCAATTCCATTAGCTTTTTTCGCTAATTTTGAATGAAAATATTTAGCAAAATTCAGCTTTCATTAGGATTTGGCTGATGACAGCTTAAATACTGCTACTGTAGTACCCTACTGGGGTCTAGGAGAACCAAACATCTCGCACATTTCAAAGTGATTTTGGATGGAAAACACATTTTGAGAAACATGCGTGATCATAAATTTTTCACACATTTAGCACAAGTCTGTGCATGATAACAAATTCAGGGAAAAATGCATTCAAAATTAGAATAGGTCTAAATTGGTTTTATTAAAAATATAAAAACAGTCATGCAGTAACTTGAGCTATTAGCTTTTGTTATCCTGTTCGAGTATCAGTGTTTCATGTTTACTGTACGTACGCCGACCAAACAATTGCCAGCATTTGCTATCTTGTTTCACATACTTCATTAAAAATATTCTTGTTTATGTACCTGGTATTGTCAACAAACACTTCCTGAAATCATTTTAAAACAGCTTAAAATTGCTCAGATCGTCGGAGCGGCACTGCTGGGCCCCCGCCCAGGCTCTGCCCTTGCACCCCAGCAGGGCAGTGGTGGCCACCAGTCAAATGGTGTAGTCACTCGCACATTTCAAATCTCTCAGGTTGGTAACTATGCTGAAGCATTAATATGTAATTGTATTTGATGCAAGGGTATTGGGTTTTTTATCTGAGGAAGTTCACTTGAAGGAGTTTCAGCCAAACCATAAAAACCCCCTGGTTATTAGCCTGGCATTTATTGCAATTCAAACAACAAATTATCATTGAACAAAGATCATTGTAATTCAATAGCTTTTTTCAATGTGCTTTATATCAAAATAACTTTATTGCACATGTACATTTTTAAAATATTGGGTTTAAATAATTACTATACTGTATAGTTCAATTATATCCTATTTCAGACAAGAGTCAAAAAGTCAATATTAGAGTATAAGCAAATACAACAAAAAAGAAAGATTATTAAATTGCAATCATATATTTCTGAAATCTGTTTATTATAGTGGTGCTCTATTTTTTTTTAGATGCAATAACTTTTTTTTCATAAAATATAAAATGACAAGGATCTATTTTAGGGGTGTTATGAAACAAATAATGAATGTTGTGTATAACATTAGTAAATAGCAGTGACATAATCTCCATTATAAGACAGCAATAGCCATTTCACATCTAGCGACAGACATTTTCCCAAGGTCACTCCAGTTCTTAGTTCGGGGATCATAGCATTCAATTGTGTCTAGAAATGTGACAGCTGAGCCAAGCCCACGATTGACAGTACGACCTCCGACTACGTATAGAAGACCGTTGACTGTGGCAGCCGCAGCACCAGCTCTAGCCGTAGACATGCATGGGATTGTTGTCCATTTCTCCTTCAAGACATGAATTAATAAACCCAATTACTTTCAAGATGTCTAAATGTTATATGTTTATATAATGGTAGAACTGTTTTATTAGAAACCAAGCAAAATGGATGTAAACCAAAGATCTTATAAACACAAGACAGCGTTCTCCGTGATTTCCGCGTGCAAATTCTGTAATAACGATCATAGCGTACACCATGTGACTTTATGCTTACGCGTAACAATTAGAAGCATCAGATTTACAATGCGCCCTCTTTTTAGAACAATTAACGTACTGGTAACGAACTGTGGCATAATGCAAACACCCTATCTCAGATCCATGGCAACGACTATTACGCCCTCTCCCAAAAGTGATTACTTTTCTTTGCCAAATTGACGCTTCTATTTGTTACACATAAATCGCGGAGAACGCCATCTTTGATGTAAAATATTTTACGTCGATATTGCAGTAAGTTTACATCCATTGTAATTTGGTATAAAACAGTTTTACATAATAAATATAGAAAGTATAAAGTAAAAAACAGCAGCACTTTTGAGACTAACAACATATGAGATGAAACTATTCAAAAGTTAATACAAGGCAAAAAATAATTGTTTGATTGCCCTCCTGCACCACTGTCTCTTAACTCACTGAAAAAAAATAGGGGCGAAAAAAAAAAAAACTTAAAAATTTTAGCATTTTTCTTCACAAATTTAAAAAAAAAGTGAGTGAATTTATTTTTATTTTTTGCCAGATGCCCTACAAATTAGTCTAAAGTTGTTGTCTGATGTAAGATGTTGCCATTCTAGGCTCTGTGGGCTATTTTTATTCCATCTGATGAGTATTTTTAAAAAATAAATAAATTTAAAAAAAACTTTTTCCACCCGCCCCTATTTATCATTTTTTAAAAAAGACGGGCAAACAAACAATTTATTTTATTTGGCCTAATATTGAGAAAAAAGTTGATCTCTTCAGGATTTGAACCCAAGACCTACTTACTTCCTTGGATTTTCCTATTGGTTATTACATGTTTTCTCATTGGTTTTGCCTAATCATCCCCTAATCTTAATACCTGTACATTTATTAAAACTGTATATTATATTTTGAATTAAAAATAAATAAATTTGATATGTTTCAAAAGTTCAGAAATAACTCATCACACTTACATTTGAAATTGAATATTGTTCAACTGAATTGAGGGCGCCCTTTCTTGCATTAGATCCACCAACAACATAGATGTTATCTTCAATTACAACAACACTACAGTGTAGTCGGCGACTTTTCATATCAGCCAGGGCTGTGGTTTCCTTTGTGACTGGATTAAAACTTTCTGCCGTTCTGAGTTCTGTTCCCACTGCAGACATCCCACCAAACAGATAAATAAGACCTGTGGGTGAAAAGAATGTCACCGATGAGTTGTTGGTTACAATCCCTTGCATTCAAATATCCAAAAAATTCAAATCCCCATTTCTGGAGTGGACAAATTCATTTTCTCTCATATACAGAATATATAATTATACAGTATATCCATGTAATGTTTTTGTTATGTGCAGATTTTGCAGTTTCAAAACTACAAAAGAAAACATTTGAACAGAATCAGAACTGCAAGCCTGGGCAGTTTGAGAACTGAGCAGGAAATTCTTGCTGTCTAGCATTGTGAATTTTAGAGAACTTTGTATCTTAATCTTCTTTTTCATATTGAAAGCAACTGAAATAAACTGCAGTCTGTATCACTATCTCAATACTTATCAGGGGCAGATATTTGGCGGGCAGGTTGCACCTCTTGCAGCCCGCGCAAAAAAAAAAAAAAAAAAAAAAAAAACACCCCCTATGAATTAAAACTCTCTATTAAAAAATACATTAACTAAATTTGTAGTTGACTCTTTCAATCTAAAGTTCAAATTAATAATTCCCCATTACTGTAGCTATCTGTGATGAATAAGTTAATACATTTTCACTGATAATGAAGCTGATGTTTCCAAAACCCTTGACAAACTTGACAAATATTCATGTAAATATTCATACGAATCAACAGACATTTACTCTTTAACACAAAATTTATTGACAAAAATGATCGCCGTTTCGGATCCATCATGGAACCATTTTCAATATCAAATGATTTAAAAAACTTTGAACAGAAACACCAATGAGGTGACAGGAAGTACTTAATAAAATATTCACATACCTGTATAAATAAATTCTAGAAGATTGTTGAATATACCAGCATCAATTCCATGAAGCTCTACTTGTTTTGAAAATGACTCCGATAACCCACCACAGAACATCAGCTTGAAGTATTCGCTGCATGCTGACAAGATGACACAATGTGCAGTGAACATTTTGCTGCCAACCATGATAGTTGCATCACAAAAAGCCTTCTCAGATCGCAACGAGTACAGGTGTTTCAAGAGATCCTGGGCATGACCGACTGCACTGTAGCTCAGGCACTGGTTAGGCTGAGGCGAGTTGCAATTTAGCTGCATTGTACCTGAGTTCAGGAGCTCTACTACGAAAAGAAATACAATGTGTAAATTATTTTTCAAGTAGAGTAGGAATTGAGTCACATTACTACGTGCCCTGTCATTAATTTTGAAAAATTTGTTTTGTACGACTGTTTTTCCTAGGTCGCCTAATTGTGACAAGATTATTTTTCACCATTTCCAATGCATTAATTACCATCATATCTGAATTACCAAAACCCTGCTGACTTTAGAGGAATGTGGCACACCCCGATACTCTGTCAGGGCAGCCATGCCGTTGGGAAAATGTTTGCGTCCATGAGTCATGACTGATACTTTTATTCTACATTTATAAACTAAATTAATATCGGAACTGTACTATTTACTCTGCAAAAAAAGGCTGACTAGGCCTAGCCTAGATTAACATTAAAACATAAAAAAGTTGATTTTATTTTTAACTGCTCTCTAGGAAGGTAGGCCTAGTAGGCCGAATGCCTACCTTTTCACTCACTCAGCAACAACCTGATTTGCAAATTTACAGTTTCTGATAATATAAATAATGAATAATATACCGAGATTATGAATAAACGTATGTGAATTCTTTAATTACTTTTATGCTTACCTTACTATTACTTACACACTGACCTAAGCCTCCATCACTACGATTCCTCAAATTCCAGGCGTCTTTCACCTACAGGAAATTTAGATGGTACGAACGATGCCAGCCTTGCTTGTGATGGGGGATGTCGAATTTAGTGATTAATCCACTGCCACATTTTAGGCATGGGTTGGTAAACTGCTGGATTGATTGATTTAAATAATGAAAAGGCAATTAACCTTTGATAAATACAAGAAAATAAGTCTTTTTAATCTTTAATTTAATACGGGCGTTTTTTATTCCTGCGTTCCGCGATTAAATTTTGTGTTACACCTATTCGTCCCAACCCGCAACAAAACCTTATTTTCGTTTGAGCTAATTTCGTTTTGATCCGCAAAAAGGTTACAAAAAAATGGATCGTCGCCAGCTGTGACGTGCCAGGTATACGGCGTAGAAAAACATTGTAAAAACACTTTTTTCGTTATAATTATTGGTCTTTCTTGAGTTGCTGAGAAACTAAAAGCAGAGTATCTACGTGGTTAGTAATTTTGCAGCTTTTCTTCTATAAATAATTTAGCAAAATATCTAGACTTCTCAAGGAGGCCTACGCTCACACAGTCGGCAGGTGGTGGTGATGCAGTCCTTGGTGACGGTCACACTCCCTAAGCTAGGCTGCACTCCATCCAGTTTTGAACTAGGCCAATGCCTAGCTCTCCTCCTCTTAGGACTTCCTGGGATGACCTACAGTGTATATTGTGGCTGATAACACACAACTCTCCCAAAAATAATATAGTTAAATACTATGATTATGAAAGTAAAGTTGGCCCCAACTTAGTCCGGCTAAATTTATTATTAGTATGTATCATATATTTTTATCAGATGAGATCAGGGAGATGATGAATTAATTTTGTGGCTAATGTATTACAGTTCAAGTTTAATATTCAAAGACCACATCTTGTCATTTAATAAGATGCTTAATTAAATAGATAGATAGATAGATAGATAGATAGATAGATAGATAGATAGAAGATGAGTGTATCATATCACATGTTTCATCATGAGTATCAATTGCCTCCAGTTGGATTCAAACTTCCAACAAAAGCCCCAGTGGCCTTGGTTAAAGTATCTGCTTAGACAGCAGAAAATCTTGGGTTCAAATCTTGTTGAGGCATTATTTTTCACACTAGTAGATTCCTCTTCCTTCCATTTAAAATGATTTTAAAAACATAATAATCAAAATGTACAATATGTTAAAGGTACTGAAAAGCATGGTGGTAGTACAGTAGTTGATAACATAGTAATTATATTTATATTATATGGAATCAACACTGACATCATGTTATTAATAAACATTTGTTTATCATCTTTAGGTATGTGATTGACAACATAGAAGTATGAGTGTTGGACCGCTGGTGGTAGAGATAATTTGTATCTTCATTTTATCAGCTTACTTATTACATAAATATGGTAACTGGAGAAAACAGCACCCACTGGTCACCATCATTACTTTTATTTCCTGGTACTTTTCACTGATCATAATATTTCTTATTCCACTGGATGTCTCAGCGGTAAGCACAAAATTCCCTATTTTAACCAGTACAGCCCAATGTATAGCTCATTTACTGACTATTGATGAAATTTACTCTATTTTATTAGACCATTTTAATTTATTTTATGCTGTAAACTATTTATGGAAACATACGTTTTACTTTAATGTTTGGAATTTAGCTTTCATAACTACAGATGACCCAGAAAGATGTATTTTTGACTGTACACTATTAGTTGCTCCCTCCGAGTCTGTATCCTTGATCTCACTAGTTTGTGGTTTTTACTCTTTATTACTGTCACTGTATTAATGTATATTTTTGTTGTAACAAGTGCAGTTATTATAACCGTGTTAGTATAATTGAAGTAAACCTCACTAATCGTCATGAATGTCAATACTGTGAAAATGAGTAGCTAAATACAACTATACAATTTCTTACAAAAAAATCATTTAAATTAAAATTTTAGCCATTGCACACATATTAATTAAAGATTGTCTAATTCAAACTATAAACATACAGTACAGAATTTCAATCTTTATGTATTTATTGTGGGAAAAATAAGATGACAAGAATATACTGTACCTCGCATACAGATCTACTTTAGTCAACAAATTTATTGTGTGCCACCAAAATAATCTTATTAATTAACTCCAATTTCCTTTTAATGTGTATTTTTTTCCTCCTGATTCATTGGTGTGATGTTGGTGGTTGTGTTGAAGGTTATGTCAATTGTGGCTGCTTATACTGTAGAATGTAGATGTCAACTGATGCTTGCTAAAGAGTGTTACTTTACAATATCAGGAGCCTTATCCTAGAAAATAAATTACCGGTTGAATTGTAATATGTAAGAGATAAGTAAGCTCTCTTACCCTAAGTTCATGGTGTATATTTCGTGAATACTTACCTGGATAAACCGACTAATTTCCATTGTTCCCAAACGGAACACCCCTTTGAAATAAATGGAACAGTCCGACCCAGGGCGCCACGTACGAACTGTCTCCCTAACAAGCGTCCTCATTCCCTTTTCGACGTTCGTTGAAAGTGAACCTCCTTTAAGAGTTGGATCGAGTATATCCATGTGTCTCGTTTTTGCTACTGCGAGAAGGATTTTCTACCTTTTTCTGCCTTATCCTAGAAAATGAATTACCGGTTGAATTGTAATATGTAAGAGATAAGTAAGCTTTCTTACCCTAAGTTCATGATATTTATCTTTCTTTCAGACTTTTTACCAACAGTGCAAAGCTGATCATGATCATACAAAAAACAGTCCCTCAGTACCAACAGGTGATGATGAAACTACAACATCTGGAATATTTAGCACAGTTATGAGCAATGGTTCCGATGAAGTTAGCCTAGTTACTGGTAATGTCTCGCATAGACGCACTGTGAGAGATGCTCAAAGCTGTCAGAAACCTTGGAGCTACGTCCCGGAAATTCTGCCCATAATTTGGAAGATTGTTTATTGGACAACATTTCTACTAACATGGTACTGTTGTTTATATTGTCAATAGTATAGTATAGTATACAGTAGTATAGTGATAATATAATAAATATAGTATTGTATTTTTTTAGTTTGAATTCAAAGTAAAATCTAAATGCTTTAAACGAACAGCAGATTAACTTGCTATTCAATTTAACCTGACTTAATTAAAATCATAGGAAGCTTTTATTGGTTCTTTTTATTATATAATAATATTCAATATAATATTCAAATTTCTTGTATTCAGGTAAACCATGATGTAAATCAAACATTCATTAAACAACTTTCTTTAATGAAATTTATGTTAACAAAATTATGTTATTTTATCTTTTTATAACAGGGTGGTTATACCCTTGCTAAAATCGTATGCTAATGCTGGGGATTTCACTGTTCGCGGAAAGTTAAAGTCCGCTTTCATTGAGAATCTCATCTGGTACGGCAGCTACCTTGTCATATTCGGTGCTCTTGTCATTTACGTAATAGTCTCACCAAAGTTGGACATAGATGCGTAAGTTCAAGTAAAATAGACTAGTGGCATACCCAGAAGGGGTTGAGTTTCATAAGAAGCCCTTAGTAAGCCTATTACAACACCTTATAAGCTCTCTTTTCTTGTAAAGAATCTAGTAATGAAGTAAATGTAGTTTCACCTCCCAAATATGAGTAATAATCTTGGTCATAAGAAAGTATAATACATACTCTAAGTATTGAAATACACACCATCGTGTTGGGATTCAATATTTTGACATTAATTATGTCATCATCAGGAATCCTGATGATGACATAATTAATGTCGAAATATTGAATCACAACACGAGGTCGTGTATTTCAATACTTGGAGTATGTATTATACTTTCTTATCTGAGATTAATCAGTGGACCTTTCAATCTTGGTCATCATATTCAAAATTCATTCAGGCCCTCCCAGATCTATAATTTAATAATTTTATTTTAGATGGTGATACCTTACTGTATGTATATACATTATTTTGTCCTTGATATTGAACTTTTAATTTGTTAATTTTTCTAAATCTTTCATAATTTCTTTATTATTAGAGTCCAGTTACAAGTTATTGGCATTACAGCAAGCAACACCTGGGGCCTACTGCTACTGGTTCTTCTCCTAGGTTATGGCCTGGTTGAGGTACCTAGAAAATATTGGGCGGAAGCCAGTAAAACCTACCTTCTAAATCATACTTACTTTCAAGTTGCGAAACTTAGCACAGAGAAATCTGAAGCTGAGGAAGAACTTGAAGACATTCTTGAGGTATTGCTGACTTCTATGATAATGATACTAATGATGAGGATTTGATAGTATTTATAATAATGCTGATCACATAGCTTAGGTATTATATAGGACAATACATTTGATCTATGTTTGCCTTTTTTTTATGGAAGAGTATAAATTGGTACCTGGTAGGAAAGGAATGATTTGGATTGAAATTAGTAGTGCTGAACTACATGCATAACTAGGAAGTGGAGGAGGTTGCATGTTGTGTACAACAGATTCTGTATCAAATGACCAGGGAAAACAAATCTTTAGCCGTTCTTTCTGAAATGAATTTGTGTCCTGTAAATATCTTATATAAATGAAATAAAAGAAATTATAATAGATTGATATTATTAATATTTTTTTTATTATAGATTATTCCTGTTGAGCTGACTGAAATGTCAGCATACTTACTTAAAAATCCGAAATGCTTTCGTGTTGGTTTCTCAAGTATATTTATAATGTGCAGAAGATGTGTTAAATAATAAACATTATAGTTTTCCAATTTATTCTAATATATTGTCCATATTCTAGGATATAAGAAGAGCATCAGATGTAATCCGTTATAACCATCCTCTACGGAAGCATGTAAACACAATCATTGAGAAATGCCCTGATGCCTTTCAAGAGTCCCTCAACAAGCATCTGGATGATTTCCAGGACTTTGACAGAAGAGGTCTCCAGATGCCATCAGAGAAAGATCTTGTGAAGCTACACCAGAAGGTGATCGCTGCTTTGTTGAGCCAGCATCGAACAGAGGCTCAGTGGAACATGCTGGTAGAGAAGGCTTGCAGTCTGGAGGATATCCAACAGAATGAGATCTGTGCATCAAGGTTGGTCTACTATAAAATCTTAAGTATTCCAACTTGTTTGCATTACATTTTGTCTATAAACACATTAAGAAATTGAAATGGTCATCTGGTGTTAAGTGTATTTTTAATTGTCACCAAATGAGGCATGCTGTGGCAAAATGGCTAAGTTGTAGCAAAAATTTAAATTCAAGTTATTGGTATTTTCAAATACCTGAGTATGTGATCTTTAAAATGAGGAGTCATTCATTCAAATTGGACATTTCAAACCTAAGTTATTGGAAATTGAAAGTACAGTACTCTTAGAGACAAGATAAACATGATTTTGGGTAATTGCCTTTTAAAGTTATTTGTGCATACATTGTTTAATAGAATGAACTATGAAAAATAACGTTAAATAAACAATTTGAAACCACTTCCAGAACTAATACTTTGGGACATGATTAATAAGACATTAAACTGTTGACCTATAGTGAAAAACAAATTTGAGCTCCCATATTTTATAGCTCATTTACTCAATACTGGACTGTGCGACAACTTTACCATTTCGCCACAACATGCCTCAAATAGTGTTAGATATTCAAATGACATGAGTTGTGTGGGTTAAATGTCAAAAAGTATTATTTTGATCTCAGTACAATAAATATGTACATTCAGCATTGATTTAATACTAAAAAAATTATAAAATTGTTTTGAGTCTTTTTTTAGTTCTTTTAAACAAATAATATTCATACTTTTTAAAATAGGGAATACCATCATTCCTTGCGACCGCAGTACACAGGCTGTGCCACTTACATTTGCACACCAAAGGTCGAGTGGTATTGGAAGATAGTCGTTGAACCAGTTTGTCTGAAGGTATTAGCTGTTCTCTTGGTCATTTTTTCCTTCATGGTTATCTGGTCAGAAGTAACCTTCTTTAGCACCGACCCAGTGCTGTCTTTATTCGCAGTTTTTATTGACATCGCAAAACGGAATTATCATTACATATACATTGAGGTAAGTTGCTATTACTGGAATCACATAATAATATACCCTGTGCTAAACGATGATGATTGTATTTATGATAATAATTATAATATCATTTTATGTCTCTGCTTCCATATCTGTTCAAACAGCTCACTTGCCTATGGTTCCAGTGGTGGAACAAGTCTTCTCGGATAAGGACTTTAAACTGTAGGCCCAGCGTATGCATTTGGCTCATGTGCATTTTAAAGGACCCAGTACATCCTTCTAGAAGAGTAGGGGGTCACCCGGTGTACTGGTCCATTAAGTCCCCTGTTTTTAAATTGATATGCCATGTAGGATAGTGATTAAGTTCACTTATTGGCATATCCTTGGCACTCGTGCCTTAAGAAATGAAATGAAAATGAAATGTATTTTCTACCTAGCGGAATAATAAATTAAATACAGGTTTCCCTCCAATTAAAGACCACTTGGGACTGGGGTTTCTATGGTATTTAGCTGCTGTAGACTCTTATTTGAATAATAAAGATAAAAGACATTTGTATATTTGGGTATCACAGAAAAGTTTAATTGGGGAGTGGTCTTTAATTAGAGGGAGAACTGTATTATGATTAGAATACTGTATATTAGGATTGACAATATTTAATGTTGTAATTATTATTTTTATTTCATTTCAGTTTGCTTGTTGTGTTATCATCACATACCTGTGTGTCTGTTCGTACTACACTGTCTTCAAGATCCGTGTTTTTAATTTTTACTATCTAGCACCACATCACCAAACAGATGAGAATAGCCTTCTCTTTTGTGGAATGTAAGTTTAGTATGAATAATTAGTGATTAAATTCAAATTAATTTCAGTGATATCGGAGGTCAGCACACACACCATCTGAGCGCAGAACGTTTTTTTAAGGTGCATACATTCACATATTATTTGGGTGTGCCACATGCCTGAACATGTAGTTTGCTGCACTCTGATTGGCTGTGATGTTGCACATAGCAGAACACCTCTACTGATATTTAGATTTTTCTGCATCATATGATTATAAGCTATGTACTAGTACAATACAACTGCAAATTTTATTTGGTTTTATTCAATCTTTTTCTTTTTTTTTCTTTTTGTTCAGGATGTTGTGTCGTTTGACTCCTCCTCTGTGTCTTAACTTCCTCGGCTTGATTCACCTGGATGGTCATGTGACTGGACAACAGAACATGATCGAAACTTCCTATACCTCGGTTTGTTATCCTAAAATTCATTTTGCAACGTTACTAATGTATTTAAATAAATGTATTTTTTGGTGGTGTACATAGGTGTATTTATGTTGGAAGTAAAACCTTTGAAAAAGTCTTTGTCATTAATTTATTATTCTATTCTTTTAAAATGTTATATGTATACATATAATTAGATGATTTTGTACAAGCTATGTATTCTTATGCTGCAGATTATGGGGCGCCATCTCGATGTGCTACCTCTTCTTGAGAATGGCTTCTACATCTACTATCCAATCACAATACTGCTACTGTGCATTGCTACATTTTTCAACTTAGGAGGGAGGTGTTTATCTTGTCTTGGTTTTCAACAGTTTGTTGGTGAAGATGACATGACATCTGACTATGTTTCTGAGGGACGAGAATTGATAAAAAGAGGTACAGATATTGAACCATGTATTCTTTGTGTGCTTTTGCTTAAAATCTGGCTTCCAATTGTCCTTCAAACCCATTGTAGGTGTACTTTACTATTCCTGTGCTGGGGTCATGCGTCCTTTATACTCAGGAGCCGTGGTGGGTAGGCCTATACTTGATAAAGCTAGTGCATGAGATCCCCCCATCCTTTTATTCTCTTTACTCTGGAGGGTATACTTGCCAGGTTAATACAAAGGGTTGCGCATACTTTTATTCACAACACCTGGTGGGTATAATTGTTGCTAGTGGAGGAAATTACATAGCATTTTATTTTGTCCCTCTCTAGTTTTCATAATCTTTAAAATGGCAACCATTCCAGTGATGTAGGAAAATTTGATAAGGTAAATTGCTTTTAACAATATCTTTGATGGATTTTGTAGAGAGACGTAAGCAAAGAAGATCAATAGATGGTGAGATAAGGCGGAAAAATTTTCAGGAAAAATATCAACAAAAAGCAGATAACTACTCACGCAGACATAAGCCAATGGGAAGATTGAGAGACAGTGATAGTGATACAAGCAAGGGAAGCATTGGCTCATTCTCAACTAAAGGTAAGTCTTATAGATAATGGACATTTCCACTAAGACCCACCATCCCACTGGATTTTAAAAAGGGAAGATTTTACCGAGACCGTGGTTACATTCCAATCATTACATCTTCCTGTCGTTCACACCTAGATTATTCGAAGTGATTAGTTTTACAACCATCCATTGTTAAACTAACCGAGTCGTCAAAATAAACTATTGGGGGCGCTAAGTTGTGACGTTTACTTCCGCTTCATCTTCGATCGATTGTGTGCAAAACAACCAAAAGCTCGCGACATTTCATAAGTTTATTGAATAGAATACGAACATACCGAATAACAAGAGCAAACAATGGCAGACAAAGAAAAGAAAAGAAAGGTGTAAATCGGCCATTTATGCTGCGATAAAGCAAGCAGTAGAACAAAGATCTAAAAAAACATGCAAAAAATATACATCAATGTTGTGTGTGATGTACAATTTGGGTCACAGCGTATGAGCAAAAACCCAGAGAAGGTCGTTCAGTGAGGCAACTCGGGGAAGTTTACCTAAGTTGTGCGTTCACATTGGACTTTTCTGCTGGGTAAAACTAGGCTGGTTAGTTTTCTAGTTCAAACGGGAGTCGATTAAACTAACTGCGTGGCTGGGGCAAGTTGCCTGAGAGGTAAACTTCCTGTGCTGTTCGCACTTAATTATTTATGGTTAAACTACCCATCAGGTCAGTAATTTTTACCGAAATATAAGTCCAGTGCAATTGCAGCTTTAGACATTGTCGCAAATGTCCCACAAATCAACAGCGCAAGAACATACGCAAACACGTATGTTTGTTGGACATCACATGTGCTTGTGAGGCATGCGCATATTCCATGTGCTGTTCTGATTGGTCAGTTGTTAAATTTGATTGACAATGTAGAAAGGCACTGACTTAATGTTTGTTCATTCTCTCCAGCAAAATATTCAAGAATGCCGAAAACTGATGATCACGTTGAGCTTCTGCGTCAGGATGAACCAATTGATTTTAACGAAGACACTGTTGCAGATTTCACAGACGAACTGAGCGGTTACTCATCTGGAAGCGGAGTGAATGGTTCTGAACGTACAAATGGGCCGAGTCGTTACAGCAAAAGCAGCAAACCACGAGGTATATTTGATGATATATGAAAAAAACAGTAAGAGTTTTAATTTAAAGTATTGTATTTGATTTTTCTGTTTATATTTTTTTCCTGGTTGCAGATTCAAGCAACTGTTAGTTGATAATAATTGTATATTAAGTATTTTCTGAACCAGTAGCTCAGAGACAAATTCTCATTTTTCAAACAACTGAGTGTCTATTGTTGTTTTTTAATTCAAGGTATTCCAATGAAAATTAACAGTATTTTATGCATAATGTTTCTAAAGTTTGAAGTACTTTTTAGCTTTCATAACTGGACGTACATTCAGATATTTATTTTTTTTATTTGTATAAGTAATAACTCATTAAACATTTTTTTTTAAATTAATAGATTCTCGACTTACAAAAATCCCTCCTGTAGAATTTTAAAACCTCATATTAGTGTTATATAGCTACAAATTTCAACTTGGATCTTTGTACAATGTGTACATATATATCACTTAAAACTATGATGTTTATAAGATTTACATTTTTAAAGATATTGTATAGAGGAACTGGACTTGAAATTTATGTATTGAGCTAAAAAAAATTTAAAATTGAAATTGCTTTATATATTATGTAAGTAATTTATTACCTTCAAATAAAAATGAAAACTAGAAAGCAGTTTCTTCACAACTAACAGATACATAAACTTTATAGTTCTTCTATTATTTGCATAGACTCTTGGCTTGTAATTTTTGTAGTGAAAGCTATGTAAATATGTGAGAACTGTATTAACGTCCTTATTGTCTTATTGAAATAATTATGATACAGAATGCAATAGCAAATATAATAATTTCTACTTACCTACAATTTAAGAAATTCCCACAGATTTTAGTGGTAAAGGCTACCTCTCCTGGTATTAGTCATTAAGCCCATGGTGCTAGCTAGGTTAATTAACAATCCTAATAAACTGATTGTTTTCTTTTTACTAGGTTACTCTCTACCCATTTTAAAGCAAGTAAAGAGAGTCTATTCAATTAAATATGTTGACCCTTTAACTAGTAAGAATCTCTTAACTTGTTTAATTCCTTAACTTGGTGGAATCTCTTGCCTTACTTATCACCTTTACGTGGTTAGATTCAAGGTTAAAATCTTAAGATTTTGTTAACTTCTTATAAGTTGGTTAGAATTGTTTAACTTGCTTAACTCATTAATATGGTTAGTCTATAAACCCGTTTAAAACTCCTTAGCTTGGTTAAAATCTCTTACCTTGCCTAATTCCAACTTGGTTAGAATCTCTTGAGATCTTTAATTTGGTTTATAGATGCCTTTACGAGTATTATGATTCCATTTCACTTTGATAAATAATCTGTTGAGCATTAATTTGAGGTGCACATTCTCTTTGTTGTACATTAGACCTGGTGACTGGTGACCTGGTGGAATTAGTGTATGTAGTACTTAACCCATACAACTTGATAGATATATACAGTGACATTACGCACTGGCCACACTGTCAAATCTTATGTGACAAATACATGTGATTTGTCCACTTAATGTCACATGACATCACCATGCATTCATTCACATGACATCACCATTCATTCAGTGTTTTACTGAAGACAATTTGTTTGTCATACCAAAGGGCGGATGAGCTCCTCGGAGTCAATGGTCAACCATGCTTAGGTTAATAAGTAGGATTAGCATGTCTTTTTACGGTTAGATTAAAGTATTATTTTCTTGGTCTGTCTTAGTTTTCTTGTTTGGTCTATGTTAAGTGTATAAAAGTCTCCACAATATGCACTCTATAGGTCAACCATTATTATTATTATTATTATTAATATTATTATTATTATTACAGTATTATTATTATTGCTATTATTATTATTATTATTATTGTTATTTTATTATGGCATTATTATTAATGCATGTAACATTTAGAGCAGCTATGTACAGCGATGATACCAATGAAGTGCGAATTTACTATAAGAGTTAAACTAGTCATTGTATTTATTGTAAGAGTATCCATATTTATGTGTTCATTATAAATTAATCATGTTGAAAGTAATTAAAGCCAACATCAGATTGATTAGTTTACATTATAAAGGCATGCTGTTGTTTCAAGAGCATTCCAATTACTAAAAATATTACATACACAGTTAGTTATATTTATCAAAAATACCATATTGATAGAGGGTGACCATTAGCTTATGCTACTAAAGAGTTGACTGATACATAGGAGCCCTTTCAAATAGATTATATAATAATGTTATGCTTTATAAACTAAGTCTCATTAAGAGGCTTAGGAATGGAGATGTTTTTTATTCATGAAATGGAACTAAAGCGAAGATACAGATTGTATTTGATTGATAGGGTTAGCAGCCGCTCCTCACCCATGGTTCAGTTGGTAGAACCAAGTCTTCTCGGATAAGGACTTAAAGTGGAGGTCCAGTGTATACATCTGGCTCGTGTGCACTATAAAGGACCCATTGCATCTTTCGGAAGAGTAGGGGGTTACCCCGATGTTATGGTTTATTTTAGCCCCTGTCGTTGTGGAATGATGTGAACATTTAGCTACTATGAAGCAGCTCTTTACGGCTGCTAGGTAGTCACAGACCCCGCCCATACGCAATTCAGTACAATGACGCTGCGAGTTATGGGTTATGCTCCTACTTTTACCTTTACAGTACCTAAGGAAGTGCATATGTGAACTATTTCTAGATGAGACACTGAGGGTTAGTTGTTTTTGAGTAGGGATTTTCGTTTGATGTTAAAATTGATTTTTTTTTTTATAGATTACTGTATGTGATAGTGCATTTGTTGAAGAGTGTTTCATTTTTTGCTGATTAATTTGATGGTGTATTCATCAATCATTGACAGAGCATCACTGTACTTAACAAAAACAAGACTATTTTTCGTATAAATAAATAAAGAGATATACTGTATTAATTATTTAGTAAATAGATCAATTCTTTCGTCAAACCATCTGGTTTCATGTTAAACAGAGCGTTGCACTGCACTGAATATATTATTATATTTCCTGCACAAATGTATTGACAAATAATATATTATTCATTTAAACATTAAGAGCCAAGCATAATAAGCCTTGAAGCACATTTAAAATTTGTTCTGAGTGAAAGAAGTTTAATTTTCAAGTTGCAATAAAAGAATGGAATTATATAAAAACTGTTTAGAATTGGGTGAAAATATCATTAAAAGATTATTATCAAAAGTTATAATGTTAAATATATACTGTAGATATATTGTATTCACTATGGTAGTATCATTTATTGAATATTTTTTGACCAATTATCAATTGAGTGCAGTTTTTTTATTCAGTTACTGGTAACTGGCTAAATAGGTTATTACCAGTACTTCTTTCTAACCTGTAAAAGTTAAAACAAAATAGAACTGAGAAATTAAAATGTAATAGCAATTGCAAATAAGAAGGAACTACTAAAATGACACATAAACCAGTGAGTACAATCCAGCAAACTCAAAAATAATGTGCAATATGTTGTAAGAATCATTCCTTTGAAGAATGTAAGAATTATACATATATATTATGTATGAACAGGAGGAGGACAGGAGGTGGGAATGAAAAACTGCTTTTCATTTCATTGATAGTAGGCCTGTATTTATTTAAAAAAAATGTCTTAAACTAGGTTACAGTACTTTAAAATGATAGTTCTCATAATGTTCACATGATCAAATTGCATTAATCCCCACATATCTGATAAAAACCAAATATCCTGAGGGGCATCCTGATTGGCTATTATGTAGCTCTCAAACTCATTTGTTTCTGGACAGTGACAAGTAGAATGTTTTGATGGTACAACTAATACATGGACAGTGTGAGCTCAGTATATTTGTACTGGGCTGTCCTATCGCCTGACCAAATGTGAGGTATACTTCTTTGGCATTATTGTAAATCGTCCATTCAGCTCATAAAATTAAGAGAACGTTATTTTTTTTAAGTTTCCATGAGCATACACTACAGAAATTGTGAATTTTCCAGAATAGCTTCAGTGCTCAATGGAATTTTCTGCTCAGCCATGCGCCTTGCATATTGCTAACTAAGATAATAAAGTCTCACAAAACATAAATTTAAATGTACGTAAGCGTGTGCTTGTGGGACGTCCACATGTTTCAAACCCTTTTCTGATTGGTCAGTTGTTCACTGTAATTGACACTCCGGCAATATTCGTTTGAGCTGCTCATGTAAATGTTACATAATTACCGCACTATAGCTTGTTACTAGGGAGCTTTCGGTTACATGACAACAGTAGGACGTATAACTTAATGATGTCACTAAAAGTCATCTGCGCATGCGAGTCGCGTGGATTCTAGGATGCAATTTGGCCAAATCTACGTATGCAGAATGTAGGACGGTCACGCATGAGTGATTCCGTTCTAGCATCGCGTTGTTGCGCAAATCGAAAGCTTCTTATTATCGATGGATAACGTTCTCAAAACTCATAAGAACTGTGAAATGTGAACGTTCTGAAATGCAGAGCAAAGTGTATGTTGTCTTAAAAGAAAATAGTAAAGATTATATTATTCTGTGATCGTTGGTATTAAATTTATATGGTAGAAATAGAAACAATGGTTCATTTTGTATGACATTTATTTAAAAATATGTAAGTGATAGTGTGCTGATGCAAATGGCTTAATTTTGACAAATTTGCCATGTAATTTGCATACATGTTTTTTAATTTCATTTAGGAATTTAAATAACGAATTATTATTTAAAAAAATTGTGGTTTTAATAAAAATATAAATTAAATCATCTCCAATGTCAGTGGTCCATTTTAAGTTGTTAAAATGTGTTTCAGTGTTGTTTTTTTTTAAATTTAATTTTTAACAAAAAATCTTATATATACTTGTTTTATTTATATTTGTTTTACATTTTTGCATAATCATACATTTTTTTCTCTTTTGTGGTATGCCAACCACCACTTTTATTCATAAATTACATTAATATAGCCTACATAACAATTATACTGCATTACTATTATGTTATGATATATCACCTATTTTCTTGTTTTTTTTACACTTGATTCTCATATAAAAAATAAAATTAAGGAAATGCAATTCATATAATGGTTAATATCATAACAATTTTGCACTCAGACACTTTAAATAACATTTTTAAGGTAAAACACATAGGTTGATATTTATTCACAGTCAGTGCAAAAGAGGATATTTACATAATTTCAATGAAATTAATATACTGTACCACTTCAACATTATATAATATTTTATATGGGTTCAGTACCGGTATTTCATTTGATTTTTTTTAATTTAAGTATTATCCAATTTTAATTAATATTAATACAAACTGTATGCAGTTGTCTATTTTTTTCCTTTTTAATTTTTATATAAAAATATACTACACTTCATCCTTGTATGCTATTACAATATATTTTTAATCTGAGTATGTTGGTTATTTAAATAAGTTTTTTTTTGGAATAAAAATACACGTACAGTGCACCCTCCGATTCGAGGCCCCTCTAATTCAAGACCAATTTTTTTATAGAATGAAATAACAATTTTCAATCTATTAAACATAAGCTAACCCTTTATGTGGAGACCGAAGCCAGTGTTTCTTTACTATTAAAATTCACAAAATTTGCATTGATAAACAAAGGCACAACAATTTAGAACCGATTCTGAAATAAGCAGATATATAGTCGTTTTTCCTATACTAGTAAAAAATGAATGCACGCAGAGCATTTATTGCAATTAAATATTGCTTTGGGGTATAGTGCTCGAAGGCAGTTTAAAATAGCCAATGAGTACAGCCCCATTTTGAGCTTCGAGTCATTTTTAAATGACGTGGAACACTACCTTACTGTTTTTGTTTCGGCGTTATTTTGGTTATCGAAGACATTTCCATCAGCTTCGCCATTAGCTTTTGGTGGACAGATTTCTCCGTCGAACGCAACGTTGTCAACTCCTGCTTCTGTATCGTATTGTTTTTCTTTTTCTTTGGAGAGAAGGTCGGTGGGCTCATGATACTCAGCATGTGGTGGACAGACTTCTACATGGGTCACACCGTTGTCAACTCCCGCTTTGTTACCACACTGTTTCTCATTTTCTTTAGATAGAGGGTCAGTAGGTTCACGGTACTCTGGAAAAGGAGATGGTCCAATCCAACTTAAAAGAACCGGCAGCAACACAAGACCGTGGAATAATCCAAACATTACAACTAAGAGAAATACCTGGAAAACAAAACAATTAGTTGGAAATTGTAGGATTGATTTATTAAAATCAGTGTACTAGAAAAGTAAACTTCTGACACATTTACTAATTAGCAATTTTTCCAAGTGTATTTCTATGTGCTTGGCTATCACACTACATGTTCTGTCACAAATTGTACGCCTACTTTTAAAGTGACAACAGGTGGTATGTAACAGCAATCATGGCTATCTCTTCCTAACCTATGTCCGCGTCCAAAATTCTACAACAAATTAAAGATGGTCGTGCAAGATTACGCACTATCATCTTCATAAGATTCCACTCTTCAAACCAGACCACTAATGTTCAGCACCTACATTCAGTTATGCATTGTAACACACCTCACTCTAATTCCGCATCTGGATCTTCTTGATGATGGAATTAAGAAGATCAAGGAGGTATAAAGATTAAGAGATGTCTAAAGAGAAAAGCGAAAGAGAGAAAAGTTCTCACTTTCTTTGGCCTCACATACAGCATAGATTCTGGAACAAATAGGAACACTAATTTACCAAAGCTCAGGACGAAGTACTGATTTCCTGCTCGCCAAATGAAGTGGGACAAAGTAGAAGTATTCATTCATACAATAACTAAATTCATTTCTAAAGACAAAGCGTATTTTCTCTCATACCATATTGCCTCACACACTTCCGTTATAAACTACCATTCTGACAATTCCAATGTTACACACAGCTTATGGTCCTACTGAAGATATTTTATTTTCAATTAAGAACTTACCTTAAAAAACACCTGGTAAATGTACGAGTTCGATAACGATAGAAGGATAAACACAAGGAACGTACTGAAGCCGCCATTGAATACCGCTGGTCCAATGTTCCCCAAGGTTTTACACGTGCGTTCTATCAAGATCAAACGCAGTATTTTTAATTATAACAAATAACCATTCTATCTGTATAAAGCCTACTATAATAACATAGGCGCTAATAGATGCATACTTATCGAAAGCAATATTATCATGGTAACAGATTATTTCGTTTCGAATCTTTTTAGAAAATGGAGAAGTATGTTTAAAATGATATTTAAAATGTTTTGCGAGTTGGTTGTAAGCCCGGTCGTCGTCGCCGCAATCGATTTCAAGGATAACGCAACGCGATGATACACACGCAACGGATTGTTTTTAGTGACAATCTCGATATGCCATCGACAATCGGCAGATGGCGTCGTGCACTCACAGAGGGCGGAGATGGTTTCATCGGCCGACGGTCGTACAACCAAAAGATGAACATTTCAACAACTTACCATTCTTTGTTCCCGTTACTGTCATGAAAGTGTGGCCAATATGAGCGGAGTAATCAACAGCGATACCGATGGATACAATTAACATCACGGTCACTACGGTATCGATGCTCAGGCCCCAGTGATGAATAAAGCCAGCAACATCAACCTATTCAGACAATTTGTATATTTTAATATTAATACAGTATAAGATCAGTACCCTACCTGTTGTTACATTACGATGCGCACTATCAATGTGTACCGATACAGGCACATACTATGACTCTATGTTACCGTACTACACTAAATAGTATTCTTAAATATCAGATAGTTTTGGTCTATTAGTGAGATACTTGTATGAACCGATATAAGGCAGGATCTTAATGGAACTTATCCGCCATAATTAATCGAATCTCTAACCCAGGCGTGTATATTAAGTTAAATTAATCTGCCATATATATAATGCATCGGCATTACGTAATGCAAGAATTCGCTGGCTAATATTGGTTCATCCAGTATTCACGAAATAATAATAATAATAATAATAATAATAATAATAATAATAATAATAATAACAATAACAGTAACAACAGCAGCAACAACAATAACAACAACAATAATAACAACAACAATAATAATAATAATAATAATAATAATTGATTGAGCGCATTTTGTTGAAAGCCTCAATGCGCTTTACATTGTTAATAAAAAACGAGAATTAAGCAGAATATTGATTAAAAAGTTGTGTTTTGAGTAGTTAATAAAGCACATTAGTTTTAGTTCTACTTACAAGTGTCAATACCACAGAAAAGAAAACTAACACGCATGCATTGCCATTTGCGAGGAGTAGTAAGATTACGAGCAGGACACAAATCGATGCAAGGCCCAGGTTCCTCCACAGCTCTTTCTTAATGATCTGTATCACGTATCAAGATTCGAATAAAAGAAATAAATTACGTACAGTTTAAGATATTATATTAAAGTACGCTCTGAGAGCTCAAACCCTCGACTACATAAAACCCCACCAATCAGACAATTTTGTTTTCAATACTGTACACCAAAATCTTTATAAGTAAAAGAGAGTGGTGATAAAAATGTGTAGTAAAGGTGCTTTCACACCGAATCCGACTTTTCCTATCGGAAAGCCTACCGAACCAATTAGAAAATATGATCAATATTTAAAAATACGGATGCTGGTGTTTATCGCATCGGAAACACGGTCTTAATTTCGGTTCGGGTTCGGGTCCATGTGAATGCAGCAAAAGTTACCTTATTTGTTTCGTAGTAAAAGTATGGCTTGGAGAATGCAAACGCGTCGTTATCGAACCTGAACTCTGCCTCGTCTACAAGGTTTTGGATTGTATCCATTGCTTTTACTTTATCTGATGAGTCACTCAAGACGATGTGCTTGAACCTGATTCTTGAAGACTGAAAGAAAACCCCCCCAAAAAAACAACAAATCTCATTTAGGTTGTATTATTAATACTAGATAACATTGATAATCTCTCATACGTCTAATTTATATTTTTGTTTAATGTGTCTTTTGTACCTGAAATGTGTTTATCAACAACACTGTCTTCGTTAACATCACTTTCACCATCATTAATATCATCATCATCTTTGTAATAAAGATGATGATATCAATGATGATGACAGTGAATATAGGCATCTTCCTCATTATTGCCATCACATCAAAATCACGTGAGCATGATTGTAGCAACAATAGAAGCAGCCGAAACAAAGTCCAGTAGCATCATGGCCGACCTTCATAATCGTCATCATCATCATCATCATCATCATCAGCATTAGCAGCAGCAGCACTAATATTACCAACAGAAGCAGTATAGAGCACTAGAATTTAACAGCACCACTGGCCTTCATCAAAATCATCGTCACCATCATCATTATTATTATCATTATCATCATCATCATCATCGTCATCAGCATTAGCAGCAGCACTAATATTAGCAACAGAAGCAGTATAAAGCTCTAGAATTTAACAGCACTACTGGCCTTCATCATCAAAATCATCGTCACCATCATCATTATCATCATCATTATCATCATCACATCATCACCATCATCATATCGAAACAAATACCAAAATCATAATACAATCTTATAATCACAAAATATTATTCCACTTTAAGAAGGTGTACTTCACTCCAGCTCCTACTTACAATGTATTTTGATGTCTTTTCATCAAAAACAACATCAGTTTGATATTGTGCTCCAATCGTTGAATTTTCAAGAAATTCATGAACCCATATTAAAAATATTTCTTCATTTATAGGCCATTTCATACTTTCGTCGAAGCCGCTGTCGTTTGCTTTGCTATACTGTAGCCACGATTCGTACTCTTCGTACCAGTTGGAGAACGATAATGGGTCAATGTATGTGTTATTGCGTGCGTCTGCGTAGAGTTTCGTAATTGCAGACCTTTCCTCGAATATTCGAACATCGGATAAGTAAATAGCGGAATGTCTTCCTCTAGCAGGAAAGAACTGTGGATATGAGAAAAATACAAATGAAGAAGACTACACTGGAGGTAGACAGAAACAAAAGTTGTGGAAATTAATTCAGGACATATTTTAACCGCAGACATACCATGTTTTGCGTTGGCACTGGCGCGACTACAAAATTTGAGACGATGGCGGTGTGTGTTGCCATGAGCAGTTTTATTATTTACATATTATTTGAATTATTTAATTTGTTTTAATTAAAAAGAGTATACAAAACTAGTCAAATGTTTACTCACCTTTTCTCTGACGTCGAAGAATGTAGTGACGTAGCTATCTAGCGGAACGAACTTCAGGAAGTCGAATTTTTGTTCAATCTTCAACGTTCCCCACAATCCGAAACCGAACAGAACAGCAGTGAGTACAACAATGAATACCTAAGCATTATAATATATTGCAAAGGTAGATTAATGAAGAAAGAAAACAGTATTATAATGAGATTCATGAAATATATTTTACCTTGTCCTACTTTTTATATATGACATCATAAAAAGCAGTAAACTCGTGATTAACTTTTTTACGACAGCTACCCCTTATAGGCTGGATTCGGGACGAACGTCGACTGACAATTCGCGGGCTTGGTAGGCCTATTGGCGAAGTGTAGGTCTACTAACCCAACAGATGTTTCGCTATCAGGTTAAATCTGTTTTTCACCTACGGCTTCTGCTAATTCGCCGAAAAACATTGCAACTTTTTTATATGGGAGGGCCTATAACAGTGATCTATGAAGTTTTCCATTTGTGAAACGTCATGGACAAAACATGTGTACCGTAGCTGCTGAAAGGTGTAAAGACCCTCTTGTAGATCTATTGTGTTTCTGTGTGCTACATACATGGGATACAAACCTTGACAGGTAGTTTTATAAGCACTTTTGCGTATATTCCCTCGAAGAACTCCTGGAGGCGATAGCGTCCGGCACATTCCGGGGACTGATAATCGTCACCATGACGGTAACAGCAAATACAAGCGTCATGTTTACTTTCAATGCGACGTGCATCCAAAACGAGTAACGACGCAAAAAATAGTATATTGAAGATAAACAAGAAACATATACCAATCCCGCAGTAAACGCAGAAGGAACGCAATCCAGGGAGAATAGTGGTAGCTCCAACGGCAAACGCTATCATGTCGGTGACAGATGTAACAGTGATTGAGACACCCTGTAACAAAGCATATAACATCTTGAATTAATTTCTGCTTACCAAACTATAAAAAAAAAACCTATAAGCATATATAAAAACGAACTGATTATATTTAGCACTACTATTCGCACAACGTGAGAGTAGGCCTATCATATATACCTATAGAATTATGTACTAGACCTGTTAAGTTTCTATATTGATGAGGTGGTAGGGTGTATGTATGCTTTGTTTATGTATCAATAAAATTGTACGGTATATAATATTAAAATGTTGTTTGTATTGGTCTCACGGGGATTTTGATCCGAAATTCATAGGGAATTTGGCCCCGGAGTAGAATTTACTAGGAATTATTTCCCCCTTCGGGGTATTTGGCCCGTAAAGTACCAAATTGAAGGAATCCACGGGAGCCAGCAATTGAACTTACAGCGTGTTTCAGAGCAAGGGCTGACTTTTCATGCACTGGTTTTGCCTTCTCGTCCGCCGTCAAGTTGTCCCACGCCTGTACAATAACAAACATGTCATCTACACCAATACCTAAAACGATTCAATTAATGATTACAGTATAACATATATCCTGGAAATGTTTTAATAATATACTTAGACTCGCGCATCGAAATCAAATCATTTAAAATTCATCATAAATAATTTTGTGTATTTCTTTTTCTAAAATTTACAAACAAAACCCCTTTATTTTATCATTTAAATGTTTAGTAGGCCAGGTATCTATAATAGCATATAGCTGTATGTATATAAATACTGATATATACGGTGCGCTTCATCAACTATACGTACAAGAAAATAATGCATTTAGTTTGCGAAATTTACAAGTTCAAGGAGTCCATGTATAGTTAAGGTCACGTTCAAATTTGTAAGATCTCTAAATTTCTAAATGTTGAATTTTACCATAAAAATACATAAAGATTCTCTGTGTAGGCCTAGGTGTAATCAGTTACCAGTCTACAATTTTGTCCAAAATAATAATTGAATCAGTATGTTGTCTTAACGTCTATATCCTGCGTCGTAAAATATAGAAAAAAACATCTTATGGAACTTTCTATAATTAACGCCCCTTAGTTAATGTTGCTAAGGTTACACAAACATAATAGGTAGTTAACCTTAACTTTAACGTTAGTACCCAATATGCAGCGCGATAGCTCCGACCCTTTTGCAAACAAATCGAAATACGCATGCGCAAACCCGTAACTAACGTACGTCAAGCACGTAAAATCCTGAAATTAACGTACTTCGCAACGCAAGATGAGTAAATTATGACGTCATCCGTTCACGTAAAGGTTAATATTCCTTGCCCTGATCTGATTATACATCATACTAAGGAGCTATACTATTAAGGAATGGTATTGCGCCATGATTTTACTCACCAAGCAACAAAAACGGCAAGATTGAGTTCAGTACGGAATATACGAATCCCCCGATCGCACAGATTCCTACTGAAACTATACAAGTCATTGCAACCATGAGGACACCGCCAAGAGATACATAAAACTATTATAGAAAGCATTCGAAAGTTTGCAGTAAATATTTTTGTTTCAGAATTATGTGCTATACAATCCTTACCTTTTTAAACTAAGAACAAATATGATGATAATAATAATAATAATAATAATAATAACAATAGGCCTAACAATAATAATAATAACAATAATAATAATAATAATAATAATAATAATAATAATAATAATAATAATAATAATAATAATAATAATAATAACCGGCATTAATCACCTAAACTAATGTATACACCAAGCTTTTTAAAATTTATTTTGTTTCTTTGAAATTCATGTATAGTATGTGCACTGTATCTCGAAAAGGAATAAATAAGTTTATTGCCTCATTAAGTTCCAAGGTCGCTACAAACAAAGTTTGAGCAAAAACGAAAAAGGGAAAAACCGGTCACCAACTATGGAAACCTGCGGTTAGAATAAGGAAATTATTATTATGTTACCTCATCTCTGATCTACAGATATAGATAATTTATGTAGGCCTATGTCTCACACTCTGGTCGATTGTGTATTTAAAAGCATTTTCAATATATTTTCAAAGTTACTTTAGGCTCACTTTTTATTGTTTTTGCACTGTATTTCAATGTGTTGCTTGGGGTTTTCTCATGATATGTCCGTTTTATCCTCCAAATTGAATTGAGGACTTCGCCTGCGCTTCGCATCATTAAGGCGCATTATAATAATAATAATAATAATAATAATAATAATAATAATAATAATAATAATAATAATAATAATAATAATAATAATAATAATAATAATAATAATATATAATGTCATCTTGTATAGGCGCGGGTATCCATCTCTTGATGGAGCTGCTCGCGGCGCCGTTTTCCACCTGCAGAGTGTACATATGCCTTTTTTCTGCATTATTATTTTTAATTAATTAATTTATTTTATTTTAATTACGGTATTTATTTATTTATTTTGTTTAACTTTAACTTATTCCTCCATGCTTATCCAGTATGCCTACTAGGCCTATTACTACATTGATCATTCGAAAAAATAGGCTAATGCTTTATTGTGGTTGGTTATATACAAATGCTTGAACGTTATTTGAGAGGGTAAATTTGAAATTCAGTCCGAATACAGACTCAAAGCAGACAATTTCAGCTTCGTCTGGGGGACAAAATGCCTGTAAGTTTGTGGAAGTCGAGTGTGTTGTATTACAAGGGTGAATACCGTACTGTAAAATACAATCGTTTACTGTTGGACTGAAAAGAAACGACGACTGTATCACATCGTCATGTTCATCCATATATGGTGATATCCAATTATAATGTGGCATGGCGGCCTAATTGTTTACGGAGACGTCGGGGATCAATACAGATTTGACACCATTGATTGATACGAAAACAAGCCATGAATTTCTGAATTCATCTTTTGAATTCATTCAAAGCTTTTTTTCTTTCTTTCATGAATTTACGATGCTTCGTACCACGGAACGATGTACTACAAAAATACTTCTTGGAAGCATATTTATAGACTAATTCAAATATCGACACCCTCGTGTCGTTTTAAAGTTTGTTTAAGTATATTGTTCACTTTTTTGAATAAGGCGCCGACTTTCTTAAATAGGTCTACGTTTCAGATTAATTCACTACAAGTAGGTCGATAATTCTATTTTCCTCAATAGGCCTATTATATTTATGACAAACTCATAAAATGTCCAATAGGTCCTAAATGAAATAAAGTGTGCTCAATATCCTTGAATATTTTTTCTAAGAATATTTTATAGATATTTCTGCTGTAGTAACGTAATATCTGTTAAAGAATGTATCAACATTAAAAGTTTCACCTGGTAGACCCCACCAAAGCTCTGTCACTGATCTGGTGCCTTTTATTAGGACACTTACAAGTATCCTGACTAAATGTAGCCTACTCCGGACATTTGCGATAGGGTAAAAGAAACCATGTATGTATCCGTCCCTCCGGGCTTCACCTTAAAGGGCACGGCAATATTGCACGGGGCCCGTCATCACCAGCTACGTCACTGGCTTCGTTACTTTAGAAATGCTTTCGTTGTTAAGAAAAATCTCAGAAATGTACAAATCTTAGTGGTTATTACAGAGGTATTTTTTATCTCAGGGAAGTGGCTTTTGTTGTGAAAAATAACGCCTTACAAACTTTTACCATGAGATATCTTTCTATTGAGTGCTAAGATTAATATAAAAAGACCGGGTTATATAAAATTGCCTATCAGCAACTTCTTAAAAAAACTGGCGTAGGCCATGCTATACTCAAGTTATTCTAGATTAGCTAGGATTCTTATTGTGTTTACCGTCTTAACGTGAACAAAAAAAAAAAATACAAGTTTTGGCAATTTTATTCAATATTGAGAAATCAAAACTGAATTAAAATATTTATGGTTGCAATTTTTAAATCGTTAAATACTTGTATACAAGAATATAGGTCACCTGATAGATTTGAGGTAAGATTTTTTTAATTCAAAGTTTACGATGACTTCTTTCCGAAAAAAACAAATATGAAAATGAATAGGCCTATGTAGATTTTCAGCGGTGATTCCAAGACCTATATCATGCATAGTTTGGGCAAAAACATCATTTCTCTTTAATAATGTTTGCATTTATTTCAATTTATCTATAAGTGTAATAAACATTTAATAAATAAATGTTTTCGAAAAGGAATGCATACACTTAGATGTAGGCTAGGTTTGTTGATGAAGACGCACACACCCGTGGTGGCAAATCAGCCCTACTAAAAGTTCCACATTTTCAATTTTTGCACTCCCATCACCGAGGATGAAACCAGACTACGCCCCAGCATTTAGCTTGCATGAAATTTAATACTGAATAAGAGTAGGCCTGAATCACTATATAAATATGTAAGTCCACTACAGTTGTATAGCTGTGCGAATAAGCTTGTGGACTTGAGGTAACGAAGTAACAAACACTATCTCCTCTCGTTTGTTATATAGGCCTATACACAAATTTTTGCCTTTGGGAGATGTGAATAATGATACATTCATGACGTTTTATAAACAGTGGGCACATAGGGCATATTACTATCACTACCACTACCACTACCACTACTACTACTACTACTACTTCTACTACTACTACTACTACACTACTACTACTACTACCACTACTACTACTATACTACTACTACTACTATTATTATTATTATTATTATTATTATTATTATTATTATTATTATTATTATTATTATTATTATTATTATTATTATTATTATTACTATTATTATTATTATTATTATTATTATTATTATTATTATTATTGTTATTATTATTATTATCAGGCCTATTAATAGGCGTATTATTATTATTAGGCCTATTATTATTGTTATTATTATTATTATTATTATTAATATTATTATTATTATTGTTGTTGTTGTTGTTGTTGATCAAACATCATGTTGATCAGTTAAGAGAAATAGAGATTCAGCCAAAATACCGTAAAACCTCGAATAAAAGCCCAATGGGCTTAATCTCGAGAAGAAGCCCATCTCGAATTAAAGTCCCCTCTTAAGTTAGCGAAAGTAGCCTCGAAAAGCAGCCCATCTAAAAAAAAAAAACCCATGGGCTTCTTTTCAAGATAGCTGGGCTCCTTTTCCAGATACAGTACATACACTGTACACGAATTTAAAAAAAAAATAAATAAATTTAAATAAAAAGCTTGGCGTATAGGCTACTGTACATTAGTTTAGGTGATTGCTGGTTAATACACTACATAATACAGGCTGATGTTACAGTGGCCCTATTTATTATTGTATCCTAGTAATTCCCAAAATTTACAGCATTCATTTTGAAAAGAAGCCCCCCCCCCCATCCCCACTCACTTTGCAAATGTAGCCTCGAAAAGAAGCCCATCTCAAAAAGATGGGATGGGTAGGATATTATGTAACTGAGTATGCTAAATCAGTTCCCAGAATTATATAGAGTTGGTAAACTTCTCCTTTAACATTCGTTTATTCAATACCGGTATCATATAGCTGTTCAATACATTTTTAAAGAAAAATACCTTTTATTTTAAGTTTTCAATTTTCTGATAAATTTCGGGATAGCAGTAACATATCCACTGTTCATTGCACTTGATACTGTAATAGTTGGTATACCCATAAATGCAGGTATGTGCCCATAAAGTTTGTCTGTTATTTTTCACACAGATTGGGGAATTAGCAGTGGCAGATTCAAGCCCATCCAAAAAAGGGGGGAAAAGGCATATGGCTTTTATTCGAGGTTTTATGGTAGTTGAACTAAGACTTCCACTCCAAAAGGGCCTACTCTCAAAAAAAGACTTGCATGGCTTTTAACACCTCTATTACCATGAATACTGCCTGATAACATACCCTACACTGTATGACGTAACTTGAATCCACCTAGAGCAACGTGTTTTTTTTTTTTTTTTGTTACCTTAAGTTTTAATAATTACAAATAATAACATGGATAACAATATTATGAGTAACAATATAAACAATAATGTTAATAAATAAAGATGAATAATAATACTCAATAAATTACTAGATTACTCAGTTTGATTACTACTTAGATTAATAATATAAATAATTATTGATTAAAGATAATATGAGTAGATATTCATTAATGACCTAAATATGAATGATAATATGAATTATAATACAAACAATAATTTTAATAACAATATAATGATATAATGAACAATTATAATGATAATAATATGATAATAATAATAATAATAATAATAATAATAATAATAATAATAATAATAATAATAATAATAATAATGAACAGTAATACAATACTATTTTAAACAAAATTATACCTTATGTTCCACGAGACTGAATTTGCCGAGCATCATCATAATGTAGACTAGTAACAAGCCATAACCTATGATAATCAATGTCAAGCCGCTGCTGATGGCCACCGATGACTCCATGTCGAGACTAAAATGTAACATGTATTATAAGCATGAATATATCATTACTTACATGGTAGGCCTACTTGGTATTTGCTATTCCATGACAAGAATATCTGGCTGTCATTGACTGATAAACTGTTGACTAAATATACTGCTGACATACTTATTCAGAGAGAGATCGGACTGGTGCTTTACAATTGATTTATAATTTAGTGTCATTATTATTTAACTTAATTTACATACATGTAAAAAAAACCAATGAATATATCACTGGTTTTTTTTTTAAATATTTATATTCATATTATTATTAATATCATTGACGTTGCTGTTTTATTACAATTGTCGTTTTCATTGTTATTGTCAATATTGCTATATTTTCTTGTCCAGTTTAAAAACGTCAGCCTTTTTATGCAACCTACCTTGTAGAAGCATAAACAGAGACGTTGACATTTTTGTACTGTCTATTACCAATGCTAATGAATTTCGATTCCCATTTCCTTGCGTCAACATCAACCTGAATAAAGGATGTAATAACTGTATAATTAAAATTGAAATGTAAAAAAAATAATATTTAAGGTAAACATTTTAATTCGGCTTAAATTGCTTCCAAAGAAATCTTGCTCAAGACGTCAGACCAGACCACCTTATATCGACTTAATATTTCAATGAATAATTAAATGAACAAATGAATGAACGAATGGATAAATGAATCAATCAATACATTACTACATGAATGAATGAGTGAGTGAGTGAGTTAATAAATGAATGAATGAATGAATGAATGAATGAATGAATGAACGAACGAATGAACGAATGAGTGAATGAATGAAGTTTGCTGCGTAGCACCGTAAACAATATACTTAAATTGATTTGAATATTATTTACAGTACTATGTTTTCCCAGCTGCGACAAGCTATTCTAGCTTAGCCACAGCTCCACTATGTGTGAGCGCTTCAGTCAGTTGTATGAAGGAAAGTGCCTGGGGGTTAGAACTGCACGTACATCATATAGGTCTATGTGGCATAATGGGTATGATACTCGCCTTGATAGTGAGAGGTTGCAAGTTCGAATCCCATCAAGTAATTTTGAACACTAAAGAAGCCTTATGAGCCATTATTTTCCCTGCGGGCTTCAGGTAATATTTTTTTCACGAAAAAATGGCAACTTCGGCTTCTTTTCCTATAGTGTAATCAAAATTACTATAATTGCTTTTGTTATGAAAACAATCAATTTATTCATATTATTATCGCGAAGAGCTGCGAAGTGCAATGCGAAGAGTGTGTCAGTGTCTCAGATTGAGTTCTACCAGGTGAAATGTATTTTTTTAAAGATATTACGTTATTTACAGCAGAAATATTTATAAAATATTCGAAAATATTTTCAAGGTTACTGAGCACTTTACTTCCTTTAATACCTATTAGGCATTTCACTGATAAAGTATCAAATTGAAAACAATAGAACAATTATCGACCCACTTGAAGTGAACTCAATCTAACATAGGCCTATTCAGGAAGTATGACATATAGCTAAACAAACATAAACATATCGAACAAAAAAGTCACTGCGTCATATAGAACATGCTTTCAAAACGTATTTTGTTTATGGTGCGTTATACAGTGGTACAAGCAGACGCAAATACCCGTAGGCCTATTTGTTAATGCCCTGTTTTTGTATCGATCAATGGTGTTTATGTTTATTGATCCTCACGTGCCTATATACATTATAATCCTAATTTGATTTCACAATATGCTTGCTTAATGATACGAAAATATCCGACAATTTTCTGAGAAAACCATCAAGTGTGTAGCCACGACAATTTTGTTTATTTTTATGAAGACAATAAACAATGAATTGAATTAATTGAAGTAACACATTGAAATGTTATAGTTCAGTCGACTTGAGTCTCGCGTGGTAACTTTTCATGGCTTGTTCTTGTATTGATCGTAATGTATTATTGTAATGTAATAATCAATAATTATGTTTAATACAATTTCCCTATTGTAATGCACATTAAAACCTATGCTATATTATTGAGGAGTTCTTTTAAAATTTCAGAAAGATCTTTAAAGTTATTAATAGCCTCGGGCCCCCAGTGTTTTGCACTGGCTGCACTGACCATACCTATACCATTGCTTATTTTTCTAATAAACAATTACAAAAATGATGAAACAATACAAAATCTGTGTTTTTTTAAATAGTAGAATTCGACCATTTGTCAGATAAAATACATTATTAGTAAAATGAAGAAAACACAATCCGTGGCCTATTGTGTTGTTGAATTGAACTAGGACAAAAATTAATGATCACATGACTACACGTATGCAACGGCGTCCTACTGTAGAACCCTTTCTTTGGGACACCCCTTTTCCTTGAAACGAGGTGAAATATATATTTTAACACTACGCCAACCCCTATTAAGGGGACACCCCTATTAAAGGGCGGGGACACTTTGTGAGTGTACCAAATGGTCAAATAACCAATATTAAATCATATCAAAAGGGTGCCTAACTCCCAAAAATTCCTACAAAAGCTTTTTTAACAGTTTTTGATACTATAGAATGTCAGGAAAAACCATGGAAAAACATATTTAAAATCTATTTCTCTTGTAAATATCTATTATTTCCGAGCATCATAACATAAAAACTTTCCAGTGGAGGGCCACTGGTCCCCTCCAAATTATCTACCACATCATCCAAAGTCGTTTTTTTCTTCTTCACGCCAAGGCCTTTGTCTGCACCTCGACTACAGAACCTTTTAATCTTCTGTCAACGGTACTTGAACATTTTTTTAATGAACTGTATAAATGGGAGAGCGAAAATGATGTTATGCCATAGAACAACTATATTAAAAGTTTGTGATAAAAAATTTGTTTTGAGGAATTTGTTGATGCTTTATGATGGTACTATATATATATATATATATACTGTCTCTTATACACATCTAGATGTGTATAAGAGACAGCCTTGATAGTGAGAGGTTGCAAGTTCGAATCCCATCAAGTAATGTCCCGCCAGAGGCATTTTATTACACAATTTCTTTATTAATTTATTTACAGGACTACATTCGTTGAGAGCTATGCTACACGATGTATTATGTCCTTTATTCGAACACTGTATTTACCTTTCTTTGTGATTTATATATATATATATATATATATATATATATATATATAAGAGTGCCATATTTGGCCATCGTAGAACCCCTATTAGAGGAAACATTCCGGATAAAAAAAAGGTGTCCCCTCATATTATTGTTGTAAATTCCAACTTCATCTATCAATACTTTTGCTCACATGGCCTTTTCCGATTCAGCTCCTCAGTATTTTAGCTCAGTTGAAAAAATATGCTACCGCTTTAGCACTCTTAATTTAATCCAACACATGCATAATTCTGTCATTTATTTTATATACTTCATATATAATAATAGTTTGTTTTCATTAATGACTGAGGAAGGGAATATTAGTCTGGTACTTTATTGTTCTCTGTAAGTATTTTATCTAAGTTGAAAAAATAGGCTACCGCTTTAGTACTCTTGAATTTAATCCCACGCATGCATAATTCTGTAATTTATTTCATATAGGCCTACTTCATATATAATAATAGTTTGTTTTCATTTAATGACTATGAGCAAGAGAATATTAGTCTGGTACTTTACTGTTCTCTGTATAAATTAGACATCATCCTTAAATACAATTATATCATATTGGACTATATAAAAAGTGGATTCCGAGTGGCTACACACTCTCCCCCCCCCCCACCTCCCTCCGCCGGTCACAAGGATCATTCCTGCGGGAAGAAATAAAAAACAAAAATTCTTCGGGAAGCAAAAATATCTTTTTACAGGGTGTGAGACTTGCTTAATGCCTTTCAAGTCGCATATTGGTAGACTCTAAAATCGATTAAATAAGCCATTGAAAACCCCAAATTTTTCATATTTTCGGGGCCCCAGGGAACGCTGGTTTGGGTAACGCCCGACCACGCTCACTTTCTTCGTCGGGGACATTACCCCCCTCTCCCCGTCGGAGACGTCACCCCTCCCACCCGTCGGGCAAATCCTGGCGCCACCCATTGAGCGCCAGCTGGCAAAATAAGGTAATTTGAGGTGCTTTAACTATGTGACCGTGATTTGCTTTTATTGTGAGAGAGGGAAGTTTATAAGGGGATCTTCCCTCTGCACGGGAGGGGGCTCTTGCCCCTGAGGGGGTGCTTATTGCAATTTTTAAATTTAGCATAATTTCCCATCAGTTTTTCACTCTTTTAAAAATAAACTAAAAAAGCGCTCAAATCTGGTAGACTGATTTAAAGATAAATTTGATCGAGTTTTGAGAATAACTTTTATAGGCATATATTGTTTTTTGCAATTGTTTTTAAATTTTATCGAAAATCTATTTTATCATTGTGCTTTCTGTATTTTGCTGTTGTTACTGTATATATTTTGCATTTGTTATGAGGACCTCTTTGAGTCAGCCTCGCTGTAAGAGCCACCCTCATAAAAGAAGGTTCAATAAATAAAATTATAAATAAATCAGTCCTAGCATAAGTTGATTCCCATCGCTGGTCACACTGCATCAAATACCATCGTGTTAGGTATTGTTGGAAAGGTCTTTTCAAATAAAGGTCCAAGTAGTTATGGTTTTAATTTCACTGTTGCATGGTTTTACTGTATATCACTGTATTAACATGTTTTTAATGAATATTATGGCTAAATAGAATTGTTGGATTCATGTTCTTCACAAGGCACTAAATTTGGTCCATGTGCTGCTCATACCATCATACAGCGAATTTTCATAATTCAAAATGGAGCCCTATCAGAATAAACTTTTCAGATCTTTGAGAGTCATAGAAAGCTAGTTTAATGTCAAACTGTTTAAATATGTATATTTATATTTAGTCTAATGAAACATTAGGTGACCATATGTGTCCACCTGTGTCGGCGCCAGGCAGAAATCGAAATAGTATGGTATGAGAAACATGGGTCAAGTGTAGTGCCTTTGGAAGGACCTGGATCCAACAATTCTATGCCATGATATACGTTACCAACAAGTTGATACAGTGATAACATATTTGGTCACGTTTAACTCCTTACCTATGAATTTCTAATATAGGTGTAATGTGAAAAAACAATTATTCAGTGTATAATTGCCTTTCAATTGGTACATGACACAACCATACACGGCATGTCGGCCATCTTGAAATGCAATATGGCGGACCTTTCCTGTATCTGATTTTACTAGATTTTTAATAATATTATTCCGGACATTCAATAGTATCAAAAACCGTTGAAAAAGCTTTTGTATTAATTGTTTGGGGGTCAAACCTTATATTGACCCGACTATACCAATGTAATTACAGTTTTATATATTTTTAAACGTTTTCCGCATCTTGTGGTACACCAACATTTTATTGTCTTTGTAAAATTGACGAATCACAGTGAGTAGAACAAAACACAGAGACGGAACTTGGTGTAAAAAAAGTCGGTGTGATGATATACGGTACTGTATGACTTGAAAAGAAG